TACCTCAATAAACACATTAGTTTTATAGCACCTTGCAGGCATAACAACTACATTAATTTCCCTCAAAATGAAGTGTTTCACAGCTAAACATTTTCCACTTTTTTTTTTTTTTTAATCTGGTGCAATACAGGAAACATCAACTTAACATGGTTACTTTGGGTCAATGAAATGACTGAATACAAAATCTTAATTAAGTGCTTTAGAGCTAGAACATCGATCCAAAACTCAGAGGAACATAGCAAAGAACTTTCTGCATAGTGTCTGTAAATTAATGTGAAATACCAGTCAACATACTTTCCCTTTTAGCACTGAATTAATGGGGAAAAATTACAGAGTCAAAATTATGCATAAAAATGTAATGTTCAAAGGAGATAACATGCCAGGCTTCATCCAAGAACTGTCCTTTTGAGCTACATTAAAACTGGAGTAATGGTTTTATTAAAAGTAAAAATCATTCAAGTAATAATAAAACATAATTACCAATATTTTTTTTATTAGAGGCATATTAAGCATACATCAAAAAAATACAGGAATGCAACTAGTCAAAATAAGCTCACAAGCCTCAAAAATCAAACACTAATGAAAACAAAAAGAGAACAATCAGGTATCATCTACATGCCAGCATATAAATAACAATGCTTAATGCCTGCAGAAAAGCTCTGAGATCTTTTATTTAAGGTTTTGCAGAATACTAAGTGTACTCGAGATTCTTTACCCTGACCTTCAGTTTCTAATGCCTTCTGGCAGTAAAGCACCACAGAATGTGATTTAACACCTATTGCCCAGGCTCCTCTCTCTCTTTACCCATTTCCAGGAAAAGAAAAGTGGACACGGGTTTGTTATAAAAATTTTCTCATTTAAAATACATCACCCAATACTTAGAACTCAGTATGTGCTATGATTTGATCTTTTTTTTTCCCCTGGGTTTACTCATCCATTCTGTTAAAGAAAAACTGAACCGCAGGGAAAGTTTCTTTCCCAAACTGCCCAAGGCAAACTGAGACATTGGCTGCACTTGAGGAGGCTCCAAGTGACTGAACACTCACTGACCATAAACTAATAATGACAACAGTTTTCCATTAAATGCAAATAATGAAGATAGCATATGCGTGGCATATGATTTCTTTAAAAATAAATGTTATAGAAACAACCTGAAATGATTATTCAAGCAAATATGGTAAATCTCTTGAGATGAGGGGAAATGGTCATTATAGTATGGATACCAACAATTAAGTTACTGGTTTTTGGTCAGGCAATGAAAACTTGAGGTAAAATGTCTTCCTAAGGACAAATAGAGGTGGCCCAGAATAAGAACTACTGACGGCTGGATGGAAAAACAACTTTTAAATGACTCAGAAACAAACAAAAAACTGAATTATGTGCAGTTACATTCAAATAACTAAAAATTCATTCAATGTAACTTGATCTTCTGGAGTGACTTCAGCCAAAAGTACCAATTTAACTTATCTCTAGGAAACGTCCCAAATAACATGATAGAGATCAATCTTCATAATTGTGCAGTCTCCTACAGTGTTTAGTCAGCAAATGAATTACTTCATCTAGGAAAAATTGTAATGAATTTTAGTTTTTCTCCTTCACAAAAATACCGTACCACTGTTTTCATGATACACCTCACTTGCCTATTTAAAGCTATCTGATGGTCTTACTAGAACAATCTAGTTCTCTCTCACCCCTTCCTCTGGAATGGCTACTAGATATTTGGGTGTTTTATACCTAACATTACCTTTTGTATAAGCATTCTCTACATGGTTTGAAACAAACAATGCTTTACATATTAAATATCTGAGTATATATATATACGTCTGCCAAATACAGAGAGTTTTCAATCTGAGTTTTATTTTCCAACTTTTCTCAACAGTACGTGGCCAAATTCTTCCAAATTCTTATTATTAAAATGGTAAATGTTTCAAAAATTTAATTGCATAATAAAAGACAAATGTGAGGAATTTACAAGCAAGTATCACACAACTGGTTCCAGTTGAACTTAATCTTTTCCAATGCCACATATCAGTGTTATTCAAAATACATCATTTGCATGGAAGATCATCAGATTAAAAATACCATAGAGATTTCTCTGGTTTTAAATGCAGATGCATTCAGGAACTCCTTCAGTAACATACACATCAAGTTCCACAGCTGATTAAGTCCTTTAAACTCTCCTCATTGTGATGCTGTATTTTATAATCTTCCACGTGTACATGCCTGAAGACATGAGACTGGTTAATCGTACCTCAAGTTAACGATTTCACTAAAATCTTTAAGAACAAAAGAATACTGCAACTTACTGCTCTCAGCTTTTTCATGTGTCTTGTTATTTGAAGTTCTTAAAGTGGCAGATCTTGAAGAGCTGTGACTATGTAAACTGTTCCACTTTTCTTTTAAAAAGTCTTCTAAACCCACGTGGATGAAAATTAAGACGCAATTCAAAATTTAAGTCATATAACTCTTTAGAGTTTGAAGCAATTTTTGAGATGTTGAGATCGATGTGGTTTCTTTAGAGGCTCCAACAATAAGCTGGATGGTCTCTAAATTTTAATACTGTTGCTGATTAGATTCATTTAGCAGCTGAGCCCAGTTAACCTAGGAGGACAGAGTAGACTTCAGTTGCATGCTGATGGCCCAGAAAAATATCTCTATATAATCTGGAAAAGTTAGCTACAAAAATATGTTTATGCATAGGCACTTGCTCATTTAATTCTATCAAAAAAACCCCCCAAATAAAGAAACAAAAAACCCCACATAAGTCTCAAATTCACAATTTTAAAATTAAATAGTTTTGGGGAACTGTCACTAAATCTTTTAAAAAAAATGTGGGAAGACTATGCCCAAAGTTTCAAGCTGAGCATAAAATTATGCACAAAGACAAAATTTTGTTGCAAATATTTACTCAAAAAGTAATAATTTACAGCAGTGCTTTAACAGCTGTTCAAAACATTTAACATTCATTAGAAACAAAACTGTAAGTCAAAAGCACATTCTGAATGTTTCAAATGGAGCAATGAAGTCATAAGAGCAAGCTACCATTAATCATATGCATTCCTACATCTAGCTGCTAACTAGAAGACAAAAAAAAAAAACCAAAACAAAAAAAAAATCAAACCAAAACCAGCAGCCATCTTTCTGTACACAATTTAGACTACAAAAAGTCCTGAAATTGAACTGTACAATTCTACTTTATATGCCCTTGTGTCCTTTTTGTAACAGTTAGCCAGTAGCAGCTGCAAAATGGCAGAATGCATACCAGTTGGTGTTTCCAGTTTGGGGTTTTCCTTCTTTTTGCTTGCGACAGTTTTTACATTAAACCGTACTTTGGTGTGACTTACAGACCATTCCTACAGGTCTACGGCTAAGAATAATTAAAACAATGGTAAAAGCCTAACAGCTATAGTACTTTCAGCAGTATGTTCTACTTTATACAATCACGTTCGTTATTTCTGCACAGTCTGCACACTGAAAACCCCGCAAGTATATATTTTTATTGTAATAATTCCACTTTCACTGAAAGTTTATTAAGGTAAGCTTACAGCCTGGCAGGATTACACCTGTACAGAGGTGCATAGACTCATATAATTCTGTTTACATGCTTTTACAGACAGGAATGTGACACCAAGTCCAAAGGGTTATGTTTACCCAAATTATCAGCAGACCAATAACCATCATTACAAGCGTGCTCCATTTCAGCATCAGAAGTGAATTCATACTAAATTCCACTGTTTAATGATATTCACACTGAAGGATTTAAAAAAATATTTTCTTGGCAAACAAATCACCTTATCCTGGGCTAGTTAACTATAAAAATTAGAATTTATTCCTCCTTTGAAATGTCAATCTAATAAGACATATCACATCCAAGAGACAGGAAGATATATTTGAACGTTACCTTTTGTAAATTTAGTTAATTCAGTTGTACATACACATACATGCGATCTTCATATGCAAAACTTCCCTTTAGTGTCTCTTTCTCTCCTCCCTCCCCCCCCTTTTTATTTTTAATAATTAGCATCAATGAGCACACTCATCAGGAATGGTCCATGGTGTTCTTACCATTGTTTATAACAAACAATAAAATTAAGATAATTTCAGCTTGCTTCATTTTCATCTGTCTTGTTTACAGTTGTTTCCATTCTGTTGGGACTGCTTTCTTTAGAAGTCTCCTCTGCTTGTTCAGAGAGTTGTCCAGCTTTCTTTGATGAAGGTGCAACATTACCTTTTTGAAGAATTTCAGTAGCTTCATGCTCTAGTACCTCTGATGGAGTCAAAGGCTCCAAATGAATACTGCCTTGTTCACTAATGTCTGAACTAACAGACTCAGGTTCATCTCTTTTTCTCAAGAACTGCTCAAAACTAACATCTTCACCCAATGTTAATTTTAAGTCCCTTGTGTTCACTGCTGAAAGTGTAGTTTCATCCAAGCTATGTACTTTAGTCTGCTCATTCAAGATAACATTATCTGAACTTTGGCAAGTTTTCAACTCACTTTCATCATGAATACATTTTTGTTTCTCATCTACTAATTTTTTGTTATTATCTGAATCACAACATGCTCCTTTCTCATGCAAAGGATTCTTTGAGCTGTTGTCAGGGAGTTCCAAACTAGGAACATTTTCTGTATTTGACAATGATGAGTTTTCTTCATTCTTTTCAACTGATGCAACTTTTTTAGTTTGATTTCTATTGCATTCTTTTGTTTCGTCTGAAGAGTCATGCTCCTGTTTGCTGGAAAAAAAAACAAAACAGGTTATTTTTATAACAAATGAAATAAAGCAACACATGGCTGTACTCTGCAAAGTGACACTCAAAGTGATGTTGTAGATTTCCTATTTGTTATTTCTCAGAATTTTTCATAGCAAGATGGGCTGAATTTAATTAACAGCTGCATTTTTCTTACCTATTTACAAACTCAACTTTGTACTTAGCAGTCAATTAGTACTCTTTAGTTCTTGCATTTCATCTCCAGAAAGGAAGGTTGTCTCCTTTGTGTGACACATGGAATTTTCCAAAATACAATGTTAAGTTCCTCTACCTGCACAGCCTCTTTGACACAGATGCAGGTACATCTACTTGGAAACTTTTATTGATGATGTGCAAGAAAAAGAAGCCAGTTCATACCTTTATACCGTCATACTGACTCTGCAATACTAATTAGAGTAAAGCGAGAAAAAAGCTAACAGTTGGAAATCTAAATTAAATGAAATCTGAAATTTAGTTGAGCAACTACAAATTTGGATTCACTGAAAAAGTGAATCTGTTAAGTAGCATTTTCAGTCACTTTCCAGCGTAAAACTGTATGTTTATAAAAAGGAAATATAGATCAGTACTGAATTAAGCAAGTAAAAATGAGAATCTTGCTGTATAATAAAATCTAAAACACAGCATATGAACTTTGTAGACAAACTGATTGTTTAAATTTTGTATTATTTCCAAAAAAGCCACATGCATGCAGTGCTTTAGAGTGACCAGGAAAAAAGAAAAAAATCAGAATGCTGCAAAGAAAGTCTGTACTGTATACTTCAAACACCATCTGTACCCACAAAAATACAAAATAGTCTGGTCATATTGCTGTATGCAATTTGCTCATATGTTCATATTCCAACAGTCAAAATCCTAAATACTAGTTTCTAATATTTCTCTTCATTTGTTATAGGAACACCAGCTTCTCCCATCCTTTCAACAATGGAGCTCAATTTTTGCTGTAAAGATTTAAATTTGGTAAAAGTTCAATACAATTTCTAATCCATTCAAAATTTTTCAGAATAAAAAGTAGCTCAAATTACCTAAAATTAGAAACAAAATAAAGTGGGGGGGTGGGTGGGGAGATGGAAGAACAACAGTTGGTCTGATTTCAGATATAAATTCTACATAGTAAGTGAAATTAGGAGCAAATAAGTCTCCCAAATTAACTTTTAAAATTTAAAACTTAAATTGAAAATAGTCTCTGAACAGTGACATGCAGACAAAAGATGTGAGAGATACAATATCACCAAATATTTCATTAATCAAAATGCATTTATACTTTATTTCTTCAAATAGTTTTAAAAATGGTTTGAAATAATTTTTAGCGAACCACTTTTTAACATTACCTAAAAGCACCAGACAGTTCCAGGACTCTTAAAAGGAATAGCAGATTTCCTGCTACTATGTTTTTATGATATATTTTCAAGCTGAAAGTCTAGACATGTTGTTCTACTGATCCAGGAATTTAAAACAATTCACGTGATTCGCCCATATGCTAAATGATATTGAGTTCTACAGAAAATGGTTATTCTGGAAGAGGTGCTACATACTACAAACATTCAGAAATCTGTTTTCAAGTTTTACTTTCACTTAAATAAACTAATCCAAGAATATTCCATTTCCTACTTCAAATTTAAGTCAGAGGAATATTTTTGAGTAGGGCTGAGATATCCTTGAGTGGTGAAATCTTACCAGTCACTGAGGTAATCATAAGAATCTTTTCATCCTGTTACACTGATTTTTCATTTATAATAAGGAATTAACTCAAGAGATAGGCCAACCTCTTTACCTAATTACAACCTGTATTTGCTACTTGTATCAAACAAAGGGTTTTTTTCATTTATTGGACTATCTAAACCAGTAAACGACATTCTCGAATATACAAACAAATTTTCTATCCAAGTTCTTCTCCTCCCTCTCAAACTCCTAGAAAAAAGGGGAAAAAGGGTAATATTCGAGGGAAAACTCAAAACTAAGTTCCAGCACAAAAGCCAACACTCAGAAACACCCATCAGCTGTGGCTGACATAACTGGTCTTGCCATAACTGTTCCTAATTACCTCATCTGTTCTGAGAAACACTTAAGCTATACAGAGCCGTATAGAGGCTAGTGAATATTTAGAATTGTTTTCATATGAAAATCCAGTCAACTTTTCATGAAACGGTGTATATACATGACCTTTAGCTACTACTTTTCAACAAGCAGCTTGAGGGTGAAGTGTAGTTGCAGAGTTAACAAGATTATGCTTTATGTAGGAAGTTTTGAACACAGATATGCAAAAAAAAAAAAAAAGGGGTTTAAATAAAGGGATGACTAATGCCTCATTAGCACACACAGAGCAGTGTTTCCACACTGGAAATGCTAGATGGATTACATATATGTACACACACACACTCACACCAAGAAACTCTTCAAAGGACAAATCTGCCCTTAACATACAAAAGGAATCCATCACAGTCTCCCTCACCTTCTAGTAACCAAAATCCCAGCTTCATCCAAACTCAGCCTCTCATTCTCTCTCATTTTTGGCAAAACACAGGAAGGGAGGGAGAAGAAGTGGGGAGAAAGAAAAGAAAGATCTATATACGTTCATCTCTCACGCGGAAACATGCTGTCTCCTATCAGCATACCTTCCCATGAGTCATTTATACCCAATAAAACAGAGTATAAAAATAAAATCAAACAAGTTTTTGCACAACAATCACCATCACAAAAACAATTATCCACAAAAAAACAGTGATCCTTTAGATCGCTAAGCACAACAGTAAGTTCATTTAGATGGAACAGTTCTCCAGTGAAATAATTTACCTCTGCTGAGAACTGCAGACAAACAAACAAAACCTAGCAATTGTGACGCACTAAAATCCCACAATAAAAAGAAAAATCATAGGATTTCAAGAAATCATTCTGTTTGTAAGTCAGTAGCTGAAAAAGAATAGCCTTCCATCCAATATTAGGAATGAAACGTATTCTTACTACTCTATGTGCAAACAATACTGGTTACAGTGTAAGAAAACTAAAAATTCAGACATCAAAAAGACCGGAAAATGCGAGAATGATAATAACTGTATTATATAGAAAGGAGGATTTCAGTGAACAGTTAGAATGTAAAATCTGACTTTTGTTTAATGAAAACAATGAACCCATTTTCTAAAGCATGATACAAACTGTGGCTAGACTATCAAATATGGGCTATACTAATGAACTAGCTGCCATATTGTCTATATGAAGTCAGGTTTTAGAATAAGACTACTTCAAGGGAGTAGCATAAGACATAATTTTGAATCCAAGAGATGAGTCTACCAGGTGCAAACACACACCCATCCCAAGCTACAGAAGCCTAGAAATTAAAAGGACTTTTTTCCTGTTTCTCATTGCATAGAAAATGTAAGATTTGGGTGCCAAGTGAGGCTGAGGGAAGCTAGGCTCTGAATATTTGTTGTTTTAAAATCCTACTACCTCAAATTTTTTTGCTGCTCTTTGCTATACATATTCACTTAACTCTGAGTATTTTATTATTTTATATTGGTATTTTATATTAAGATTTTAAAAATCATTCAGGGAAAAATTCTACAGCAAGAAAGAAAAAAATCATACAACTTCAGAACAGAACTATAAACAAGTGACATTTACACATCTGCATACAGAGCAGTTGCAAAGTATGCGCAAACACACCTTCAATCTGTGGAAAAGTATTTCCAAGTAACAAAACCTGTATTACAGCTGCATTTACATTAACAGTTGGTGTGAGACACCACCATGGTTTTGAGGCACATTCCTTGATTGTTCCCACGCACTGGTTTGGTTTACAGAGCAGTTCTGAGATATGCAAACTAGATTTCATTTTGAGGAAAATGAACTGGAAGCTCTGATCCACAAGTGCTCCAACTCCTAATGGAGCTGTGTCCTCAAGAGTCCAAACCAACAACGGGTGTTCCACACAGCTCTGAGTATGTGCACAGTATGGGCATTCTGTCCAGGGAACACAAGTCTGGTCTAAAATAACACCTCTGAACTACAGTGCAGTGAAGATGCAGGATTCTCAGAATCAACTGCTTTCACCTACTGATCTGCTCCTGCAGCACTAATTGCTTGCTAATATCAATGTAACTACCTTGGCTTAATAACAGAGGAAAGTGTTTGAGGACTGAGAATCTCTGGTGCTAGAGCTACGATACTCCAGATGTCTGTCTTAAAGCCCAAAAAGTAGTATCAAACAAAGTTTTAACAGAAAACACAGAACAGATATATATATTAAAATTATTTTTGTCTACTTAAACATTGGGAGAAAGTAATACATCATATTCAATTAGAATTACAGTGACTGTTTACTAATCCATAGCTTAAAGACAGAATTAGGTTCCAATACCTGAACCATTTAGTCTCAATTCTTAAGCAAGCATTTTAAGTGAAAGTAAAATTTCTAATTATTTGGCCCACACTGCATATGACTAGAATAAAGAGAGATAAAAGCAGAACCTTTTCTAAGAAGAAAAGTAACCTACAGAGAGGCTCTGAAAGCAGTTAGCTTTTTTTTGTAAAGGCACTATAAACGCATATATAACAAATAACTACAATTATGTTTTGACTAAGCTTTTAAAGGTTAAATTTGCACCAACGATTGTAAAAGATCACTAACTGGAATAAGACATTTCAGGCTGTGGGATCTGGAGTAATAATTTAGATGAATTATATGAGGTATAAGTCTGCCCACAATATGCACCAAAAGAAACGTATAAGATTTCAATTATTTCCCCAGACTGACAAAAAATTCCACAATTTTGTCTATTTTTTTAAGTGTAGAGCTATAATTGTTAGCTACCCAACAATTTCACATATTTGGTCTGCTAAGAATTTGGTTGACTATGCTTTCCACAAATGACACAGGTTTTTAAAAACCTAAATGAATATCTAAGAATTAACATTTTATACTGTATTTTAAAATTGTTTCCCAACTGCCCCACTAATAATTAATTCATATGCAATACTATAAAAAAATGCTTCTTTTAACAATCTGTACAATTTATTTAATGTCTTATGAACCTTGACTAATTTGCAGTTTAAGCATTACTAAGAATGTGTTTTGACACGTGGAACCTAAATTCTACATGTCTGTTGAGTAAGTACATTACGACTGCCGTTCAAAATTTTCTATCATAGAAAATACACATTATGAAAATACTAATTAAATACTTTTGCCCAATTACCTGAGAAATAACACAGCATGTGTTATTTTATGTACCTGATTTCAAGATGCAGCTGATCATTGTATTTACCTTTCAAAAGCTGGTGTTTCTGTTTTTCCTTCAGATATACTAGGTCTTGAAATTTTCTGTAATAATTAATGATATTTCTTTTATTTTACATTCATGAGCAACTGATTACAATATAAAGTTGTAGAAATAATTTCACACTGACATTCCCATAAATCTGCTATGTAGCAGAGACTGAGCATGGATCTGAGCACAGATGTTTGCAAATAGTCTTCCAAGTTAAAAAAAAACAACAAAAAAACCCCAGAAACAAAGCAAAACTTTAAAGCTACTCTTGTAGCCTTTTTCATATACGTAATTTCACTTATGCCTTATTGAATAGGATGCAAACTAAGTCTGGACAGCTTGTTATTTGGAGGGGAAAAAAAATCCTGAACTAAACTTGTGTTTTGCTAGCAAAAAAAAGAAAGCAAAAAAAGCAAAGGAAAAGCAAGAAAGCCAAAGTTGAGCTGAGTATATTTTTTAAGCATTACACAGTGTTTTAGTCCTACCAGTGCTATAACATTAAGTATAAGGAAGATTCTTAAAGTGCTCTTTACAGAAGAAACTTTTGAGTCTCTATTAAAACTTATCCGATGAAATAACTTCTTAACTCTAAACAACATGAACAAAAAAAGCAATCCCCCCCCCCGTTTTTAGAACAATAGAAAAGCAAGTGAGTGAAAACTGCCATTTGGAAACAGCCACACCAGTCTTCTAAAGGCATCTCCTATGCTGCAGGGCATCTTGCCCATATAATCTTATTCTCATTTAGGAAATTGTAAGTGCCTAAGTGACAAAATTAAGAAATTAAACTTTTTTCGGTCTGAATAAGACTGTAAGTTAATTTTGGTTTTAAAATAGAAAAGGTCACTGTACATAAAGACAAACATTTTAAATGATTATTTGTATCACAACCTCTTAAATATTTAAAACTGTGTAAACAATGTTACGTACTTTTAGCATAGTATTTTTTTCCCCCCACAGAGGTGGTATATTTTGTTTCAATGAAGCCAAATTACGCAAGTATTTTAAAACTGTATGGTAAAATTAAGCTTATTCTATCTTCTAAAATACCCTTTGCTATACTTCTATCATACTTTGTTATATTTCTGTCATACGAAATCCATACACATATGACCCATGCTAAGAAACAATTTCTGACTTAAAATTACTGCACTCTACTTCCTACTACAGAACCTCCTTCCCTATCCAGCATCCTCCTCTGCCCTGGCTGACCATATTTCCCCCTGGGAACTACCAGAAAAGGAAGATTTCCTGGCTTACCTCTCTGAGTTTTAAATGCTATGTTTTTAAACAACCTGATTCATCAATTTATATTTTTGGTTCTTCAGCACCCTAGGGGTCTGTCCTTTGACCTCCTGCTGTGTATTTCAACAAACAGCCAAAATGTCAAGCATCTGGCTGCAGCGAAATAACAGGCATTCCATAGCACCTTGGAAAAAAAGAGGTTCCACATGGCCCAGATCACACTGAACGGCAACTAACCGTTCTGAAAGGTCTTGGTTCAGATGTCCTGTAAGCGCAGAGAACTAACACCAGAGTAGCCTATTCTGTCTGTATTCTCCATCTTTTCCAACCATAAGGGCTAGGGTGTGTGGGTTGGGTTTTTTTGTTTTGTTTTAGTTTGGATTTGGGGGAGATGTTGCATTTTTTGTTTTATTTTCAATTTTGTGGAGCAAAAAATGCAAATTCCACATCTTCGATAATGAAACAAAAAAAAAAAGAAAGAAAAACTAAGAGAAAACACACCTGACGTGGTAATGGAGTCTATGGAAAGAAAAGGTGTTACTGTGTATGTTTGAGAATCTTGCTTAACGCTGCTGAATGAAGATGAACAGTCTTCTCACATTTCTACAAAATCATTGCTTGTGTTAAAAAACCTCACCAACCCCTTTGCATTTTGGAAAGCAGGCAAGCAGTGTTACAAGAAAAATCTTTACTAGGTCTGAGGACTTCTCCCACTCTCTTACTGGCTGGGATTTCTCTAACAGATTGCCCTTTTTGAAGGGCAACAGAAAGACAACTTCTTACGGAAGAAAATGCTGTAAAATCAGAATCCAAAGATGATATTTTTGAAAAAAGTTAAGACGACGTACTGTGAGATCATTTAGCTTCCTGATAGGCAGAAAGCAGGGGAAAATTTGTACACACGTTTAGAAAACCATTCCTTCATTGGAGCCTGGCATACAAATCAACCAGAACAGACTGACTGCAAACTGGAAATCTTTGGGTGTGGCAGACACACTACAGGTGTCCCTCCAACACTGCCGTACCTTTTTGTAGCAAAACACAGAAAGCTAGATTTTTGCACTATGCATATCTTCTGAACACCATGACCCAGTAGCGTATGTATAGTTAAAAAAGAATTGTCTTGGATCTTCAAACTAGTTATGAAGTTCAGAGATATTGTTAGATTGTGTGGAGAAAAGAAAAGACATTACCTCCAACTTAGCTTCTCTCTCTCTAATGGAGATTTCGGTCTTTAACCTAGTGGATAACGAATTAAGATTCAATGTTTTAAAATACTGTATGGTTAAAATAGAGATAAGGATGAAGATACTTACAGTAAGAAAGCCACATGGTAATCTGGAATCAATTTTTGAAGTTGATACTTATTTTTAATAAGCTTAAATGTACTTCAGAGTTCCAGAAGAGCATTTCAGAATTTTAAAATGTTTTATTGGGTATACAGAAATGGTAAGATAAACTTGTTTCATGTAACCTGTTCCAGTTATCTCACACCTCATGAAAACCAAGAAGCAACAGTTAAGATGGTTAGCAATACTTTTATTCTAGTGCTTACTGCAATTCTACATGAGGAATAATCTCCTCACCATAAACCATGACTGAAGTATTTAAGATCTGAAATGATAAATTTGCTGAAATGCCCTTTTTAGAAGTGCATAAAGCTACATCATGACCCAACAAAAACATTCTGCAAAACAAGCTCAGTTTTCTTTTAATTGTCTACCATAACCCAAATACCCAGAGCACAGCTGTAGTTTACTTTAGGGCAACTGTAAAACATCGCAGCTGACCTCCAACTACTATTTGGAGGAGATACTTCCCTCAAAATACCTTCACAGGCACAGTCCATACATTAGATGAGCTATAAATTATTGAAATTTATTGACTTTTAAAACCACATTAATAAAACAGCTTATCACAACATCACTAAAATTGATTTTCTGTGTTTCTATAAGAAAATACCACCGCAGAGATAGCAAGAAGTATGTCTCCTACAAAACCTTGTTAAGTCATCAGTTCTAACATAAAATCTAACCTTTCAAAGGTTTCCTATAAAAAAAGAAAAACTGAACAAAACCCTCAAAATTGCTTACACCTGTATCTTCTTTGTTGATGCTGCATTAAAGGCAAATTTAATCTGCTGAAGTATGGTGCTGCCTCTGTTATATTTAAATAATGTTATTAATCATAAATTGATTCACTACCTCAGCGAGTCTTAATGGTTGTCTACAAGGTACAAAATACTTGACAGAAGAAACAGCTTTATCAACTTAAATTTTATGAAAAATGTATACTAATATTAGATTGGTATCTGCCACATGTATTTTCCTAATTTGATCCAAGAAAGCAGTGCTAAAACCAGACCTTTTAAAGAATTTTAGCACATACTTTCAGCACACCATAAACACCTTCTGACACTAATATTCTAGCAGGTAACCCACAACTTGGACTGTAGCATAAACAACCATTTATAACTATTTTAACTATTACATCTTGATTTGCAATAAAAGATGGCAAAAATAACTACAAAAAAGGGATTGTTTTAAAATAACATTGCTATGATAGCACTGTAACAATGCTCATCTAATTAACAGTAAGAAAAATGATCAAGGTAAATCAAATGACAACACATTTTTGGGTCAGGGACTTGAAATACTCTGAAGTATTTAATGGTGAGTAGCAACACCAGTAAAAAATGATGCAACACCAAATATTTAGCTTAGCTTTACTGCTTTAATGATTTCTATGCAAGAACTTAAACAAATATGTTGGAAATAGTAATTTGTCTAAAAACAGTCACTCATGAAAGAGCAGAACAATTTAGACACAAATAAATCAGATATTGTATAGCCAAGGACAAAACATACTGTTCTTGTCTGAATAAATGTAAGTTTTGCCACCAAAATAAATGGGTATGAATTGGATCCAGTATCTGTAGATTGTTTTAAATACATTATAAACATTCTGACAGGTTTCTGTGGTCATGTTTTATAGCTTATAAAACAGATTCAAACTGGCTAGTTTATGCTGGTTTGGAAGTGAACAGGGTTTACAATATTTTGTGATAACCACATCTTTGTTAATATGGTTTACCTTGGATTCCTGACATATATTCTCAACCTTAATTCTGTTTAGGAATAGTTCCTTCTAATTTGTAATTAGCAGAAGTTTCGTAAACTAAACCATAGAAGACTATCACCTTGTGATGTTCCCAACACTATTATGGTATAAGAAACCTTAAATCCCATAGTTCTCAAACAGCAAGAAAGGCAATGTACTTTCTTACATCTGTGGAGCTACAGTGCTTCTGGAAAGAACATTATGAAAATAAAACAAAGATCGTGACCATCTCTGGTAAGTACAGCCTGCTGGTCCACAATTTCGAGCAATTTTGAAACCTCTCTAGAACTCTCCAAAGAGTCTTTATTCTACATAAAAATAAACTTCTAGTTAAGAACAATGAAAAAATATCCCTTAACTGTCAATCCCTTAAAAAAAAATGCCCCCAAAATGTAAAAAAATGTGCCCCCAAAATCAAAAGCTGAGCACAAAATTTCAGCTTGATTGAGATACTCAGTAGAATGGATTGGCCATAAAACCAGAGAGACTCAAAATAAAAGCTAGGAGAGTAAGAGCATTAATTTAGACACCTTAAAGTCTAAATTCAGGTTGATCTGAAACTTTATTTGATACATGAGGAGTCACCTAGGACTAATGGAAGAGATTTGGAGTCAGTGAAACAAGTAGACTCTAAAATGCACAGTCCAAGCACGGATGGGAGTATTCTCATTTCTGAAATTCATACAGTCTCATTGCTTCCCCTCCTCTCACATAATAAAATTATGTATATTTGCGCACACACACACACAGCTCAAATCATGAACAACTGTCTGCCCAGCGATCTGTCATGTCTTCTTACAACCAAAGAGTTACTCCCACAGCTTCTTTGGGTAAGCAGCACTGAAACTCGGCTGGAACCTTTTGCTAAACATCCCTTTTTTGTCCACCCCTAACCAAAAGTGACCTTTTCTAGGGTGACTGTAGCTTCAAGAATTTCTAGAGAACAACTTTATGTTATTTAAGTGGCTCAAGGTACCTTCCAGCCACTCAATTGAACCATACCCAGCATTATAAATATAAATCTATTTTACAACCAAAAGAATGGAAAGGTCTTTTGGGTTTCTTTGTTGGGTGGTTTGTTTTTTTTTTTTTTAAACTTCAGCTTTTAGCAGAAATTCCCCATTTTTAAAAATATAACTCTAAGTAGAGCTGATGATTCATAAAGCACAACTCTCCCCCAAATATCTGATTGTATCAGCATTTACTGGGAGGGTACATGTGAATGCATAGTTAGAGAGAAGAAAAAGCTGCTTCTACGCTATGGTGTTTTACACTGTTAACCACTGAACGGGCAAGGAAAGATGGTGACATTCATGTTACTTGACACTGTCTCCAGTTTCTCACCTGTAAAATGGGGTTAGCAATGAAGACAGCTATATAATAATAACAACTATTATTATCATTAGTGAAATGTTACTACGCACAAAGCTGCAGTGACAAACATTTAACAGAATAACAGAAACAAACATATACTTTCTTGTCAGAAAGACTTTCAAAACAAAGGTAACACAGAATTTGCTAATCAAGCAAGGTTGTCCTGCAACTACATGTCTTTTAAGAGCCCATAACGCAGTGACACTCAACGTCCTAAAAATAACAAAAAAAGAGACAGGTTAAGGTACATACCAATGAAGTCTTAATTCTTTGACCGTAAGCTAAACTGGTTATACCATGCATATTCATGCTCTGTCCTTGCAGATGTGGTCCAATATGCTGCATTATTCATGTAACTTGGTAGTTGTTGGGACCATCAGGGATACTTAATATCAAGTCAGGCAGGTTTACTTGCATGGTTTAGTACTGGTTTTATGTTATGAGTTTTCCACATGAGTAAGTTTTCTGAGATCCTCACACAAATGGAAACAGGATGCCACGACGCCAATTGTTTCTACATGAACTATTCACACAAATCTGGCAAATCTGAATGTAGCTTATGAGTGTTTTAACTGCAAGCCTGAAACTTAAAAGATTTCGGTAGCAAAGCTGTAAAAGAACCAAATGATAATATTCCAAATGAGCATTCAAAAGAGCTATAATTCACATAACTTCAAATTGAAGTGTCAATCTAGTGTAATTTCTGGGAAATTTTTAAAGAACATTTCTGAAAGCCACAAAAATCTCCAATCATATTCCAGTTTTATTGTTGCTGGAAACCAGAATGAAAGTGAAATACCACAGATTCAACTTCCTCTGAAATGCAACAGCATGTTCACAATGAAAACACAAACCCATTATGCTTTTTTGAATGCTGCTGTGTCAAAACAGAAATAAGTCCTGCAAGAAAAACCTGTAGTAGGTAACTGATGCTTGAACAGCAGCATTCAAGATGGAACATAGCTTCTGTCAGAAGAAAAAAAAGTAGCAAAAAGAACGAGACTTTAGAGTACTGAGTAAGCGTGCAGATGCTCAATCACAATATGCATAAGAGACAATGGATGACAGGATCCTTCCTATTATCAGCAATACCACAGTGGTTGCAGAAGCTCACTATCACCAAAACTGTTACTATTTGAATACTAAAAGTGAAGAGGGCAAAAATACTGGTAAAAAAAGGATTAATCTCAGAGAATTTGATTATGCAGAAAAAGAAAGTGCTGCAAATCAAGAACAGCTTGCATTCATCAGAAATAATCTCTTATAACTAGGAGGTTATAACAGTGACTGATCTCAGAGTAAGATTAGCTCTACCTATTAGGCTGCTTGGAAGCTAGTAAATTAGAGATTCAACCAAGACGCATATCCAGTGTAAGCAGGAGGTTGAGTTTGGAGGAACACTAGATATTCATCATGACAAAAGGAAAGCTCATCATATATCCAGACAACCTGTTGATGGATAAACTTGCCACAGATAATCTAGAACTAAAGATGAAATCAGAAGCAGTGAAATCAAAAGCAGCAGATGTCTCAGCAGCTTGAGTAGAGCATCCTTGAAGACGAGAGATGATACCAAAAGAACAAGGTGTGAATGAACTGTGGCTGCTCCACCCTCAGAATCAAGGCTCAATAAATGTATCTGCTTCCATCACATGCTTTCCTCCTACAGCATTTAGGAGCAAAAAGAAGCTTAGCTACCCCAGAGCAAAGCAGCTAATAAATTCCTTTGGCCAAGATTCAGTTTATGCAGTTAATGCGACAGAAGTCATTCAAAGCATATTTTGCCACTATATACTGTAAAGTCATTGGCAGACAAAAATGCAACTTACTTGAATATTAGATAGATCAGGACTTGTATGTTTTAGCGAACACAAACAAAGAGAATGACAAAGCCCTTTAGTTTCAGAAGCTAGGATCAAGTTCAGAACAAAATGGGCTTTGATGTCAACACATATATGTCATCATTTATACACTACTCTAGCTTGGGATGATATCAATAGACTTGAGCAGCAAAGAAACACTGCAAATGAGCAGCAAAGAAACACTGCATCACATAAGTGAAACTCCTGGTAAGCGTCTCTTCAAAGGATTATAGCCCCCAAAAAGCTGCAATTCAATGCTGCAAAGCAGAGAACGTTATCACAGAAGGGCCTTTGCCAGACTACAATATTTGGAGAAAAGACCAGACCTGCTGCCTAAAAGATGCAAGAAGAGAATACCACAGCTTCAATGTATGAAGAAAAAGGAAAAGGTCTGGTCAGATCCTTGTTCGCTTACATACCAAAATAATCCCAAGCTGGACTGGGTTCAATTTTCTGGTCCACAATGATGTATCAGTGAGCCAAGGCAGTATAGGATACCTGCTCACTTTCAACTCCCCTGCAACAAAAATGTCTGCTGTCAGTTCATTTAAAAATATGTTAATTGTTGCGCAAAGCAGAGAGTTGAGCATTAGAAGAGTACTGGCATAGTTATTAAGCCTTATTCCCTCAGCACAAGGTGGATCACTAAACAAACAAGGCAACTTTATGTAGAGTAACAATTTAAAAAGCAATTCCTGCTGGAACATCTCCAGCTAGGTTATCTGTATTACTAATGGCAGGATTCTGGTCCAAAGACAGCCTCATCACCACTACACAGAGCTCATAGAACATGTCTGGTCATTAGCAATAAAGATGAGTTTTACAACACATACAGACAGCCTGATATATAATAAAAGATACCATCTGAGAGATGCAAGAGAAGATCCAAAAGCGTTCAAGATTGTAACTGTGAGTCATTGTTTCCGATGATGAAGTGATTCTGAAGAGCCCCATAAACAAGTCATACCTCATTGAATTATAGGTCAAAGAATGGGAAGAAACATTCATAGATCATTGAGAAACTACACAGCAAAAGTTATGAATATTGTCTGCAAGCTCCTCTTCTTCCAAAGCAAACCACAGAGTACCATGAAGAACCATCCCGCAAAAAGATGAACATTTTTGTGTGTACTCTGTACTGCAAATAATGAATTTAAAAATCTGATACACAGGTATATTCATGCTCTTAGGTTTAGCAATGATATATTCTTGTCCAAAATATCAGAGTATTAGTATATGGAGCAGGACAAGATTTACTGAAATTAATGAAGTCTATGAGCATGACAGTTTCAAAAAACACCATCACAGATTATATCACCTCACGTAGTAAGATTATAACTAATCTTACGCCAACATCAGAGCTCTCAAAAAGCATGGCTATCTGCATCTGTCCTAATCTAACAGCTTGCAGAAACAAACCTGTACATATTCTTGACTCTACTTCAAATCTTTTTGGTGCTCACCCATCTGTTTCTGAGAAATAGATACTTGGTATATCCAACATTCTTAAATATTTTCATATGACATGTCTGTAATAAATTCAAGACAGCGAGATCCTTGTGCAGTACTGACAGCAGCCTGCCCCAACTGTACCTCTTTCCCCACCGTTCAACACATCTATAACCTTTCCTTACATATAGTTCAGCAAGCATTAATTCCCAACACCTAATGTCAGCTCCAAGTAGAAAAGCTAAGGTTGTATCATAGCTTAACAGTTTATTTTTCCATTGTTTGAGTTTCACTGAAATCTAAACTGTTAAAGGACACAAGCTACCCTGGATTAATGAAGGGAATATAGCTCACCCTCCTAGATGACTCTTTCCAGTGTTTTGTCCAATTTCAATATTTTGTGCTCCAAAATCAGAAATTTCATTTTTCAAATGGCTTTTTGGAATGCTTTCCCAAATTAACTTCCTTCCCCTGTTCATTCCTGCCAGAATATCTTCAATTCTTTTTAAATAATGTCTATTAGTCATCCCATCAGACCACCAGTTTTATTCAACTGCATCACATGCTAAACAGTTACTAGCAGACTTTTGAAGTTTATAGCATATATCTTGCTCTACTATTACTCATAGCCAAAGGTAAGTATTTCCATGTTTGGATCAGATGACAGATTATTCTAGTATCCCCTCTTACCGGCCACTTTATGGAAACCAAGAAAGAAAATACTTAATAGTTATGAAATAACCTATTGGAGATACTTCCAACAGTCAGTGAAGGCTGATTTATGCTTAGAGGCCTAAGAACTTCTCACTCTATTGGACGAGTTCTCATCATGCATGAGAATATGTAATCCCTTTTAGAATCCTGCTATAGGCTAGATGGACTCAATAACACCGTGTTGTTAAATCAGGGTTAAACTATTTTCTTCTGTCTTTTAAAGTATCTTTCTTCGTAGTCTAATTGACATTTTTGTTCCTGTGTTCTGAAACGGTTTAGAGAACACTCAAATGTTTGATTCAACTGACACACCTCTGAACCTTCAATTAAGGCATAAGTAGGCTCACAAGCTACATTGTAAAGCCTCAGGTACTGTTCCAGGATAATCAGGGATGGCTTGGCATGCCTGATTCTTCTAAGGTTAAAGAAAAACCCAAGCAAACCCTGCAACACAATCCCACAATACTGCAGGTTCTTTTTCAAATCCTTAAAAAAACTGAAAGCCAAAATCCTCATATTAATTTTTCTTTGAAAGTCAGAATTAAAAAGTTAATACAAAACAGCATACCTTTGTCATATAAATAACATCATTTTGAAAATAATTTGTAAATATTTATAAAAGATTAACACTGAATTTGTCCTACTTCAATAAAGGTAACTTTTTTTAAAATTCGTATTAATATTACATAAAGAACATAAAAAACATTTAATAAAGCTAGTATTAAAAGCAAGTTGAAGTAACAGTCTTACTACGTCTAGACTTAGAAGTCAGGATTTGAGAAGTTCTAATACTGCAAGAATTATTTATGTCTCTGGCCAAACTGAACAAAAACCTGGTTTTGATTTTGGCTGCCGTAGGTAATAATTTTATCTCCCCATTCTTGTAATTGTGGACATGGTAAGAGCAAAAAGCACTAGTAAAGTAAGGGTCTATGTTCATCCATACATTTCAGATTCTATGAAATTCAAAGAAAACCCAAGTTCAAAGTGCAAATTTTGGCCATCTGTCACTAAACTAATAGAAATAAACATTGAGCAGTAAAACAAAACTTACTCAGATACTTGTTCAGCAGTTGGGATATCTACAGAGACTGAAAATAAAAATAAAGGATTTAATTAAAAATATTTAAAAATGTGGAAATACAGAAGTACTTGCTTTCAAATCCAAGTACACAGAAATAATGATAATGCACTGAAAAAAAGGACTGCAATAACACAGAGACATCCATATGTAAGTATTTATATATATATACTATATAAAAAAGACACTATATGTACTCACCTTTCTCTATAATAACTTGACAAGTATGAGTGTGGCTTTCACTCAGATGTGTGGCCATGCTATCTAAGCCAGAAACATCAGTCAGGAAATCACAATTAAGACATACTACAGTCACACCTCTAGAGAAGAGATAGTAAAAAGGAAGTATAAATACAACATGGTTGTGAAAACAGTTTTCTTAACTTACAGCAACTAGACAGACTATAAAAAAAATAAATAAAGTTTCCTGCAACTGTAGATGAGATGACTCACAAAAACATATTCTTACTTTTTATACTGCAACTAGCACCTGGAAATCCCAGTTAATGACCAGGGCATCTCTATGCTAGGTATAGTACAAAGAACACTGCTTTAGACAGAAGTTTATCTGTAAAGCATGAGTTTCTCAGTTTTGGTTGTTCGTTTTTTTGTTTTCCTCCCCGCTCCCCATTTTGCACATTATGAATAATTAGAAAATAAAGAAATAGAAATATTTTTAAAAACTGCTCAGGATTAAGAAAGAAGTTAATAAATGTGGACAAATAACAAATATTTGTCACTGAACAGAACACTGCTAGTGGAAGAGTTGATGTTTTTATTCCCCTGCTCTTTCTAAATTGTGGAAGCCTAGAAATTCAAGAGGCTCTGATTCTCATTTAACTAATCAGTTCACTATCAGAAAGTAAAAATATATAACGATCTGTAACTGAAAAAAGCTGAATTACCGTAGCTCTTCTGAATGCTTCTTATAGATCCAAAATCTTTTACTTGGACGAGCACTGTGAAAACTAAATATAAGAAAACATTAGCATTTAGACTGGTTTTCTTGAGTACATTACTCCACATATCCCCTACACCGTACATGTCACCGCAATTTGCTTATGACAAAGCATGAAAATAGAAGGCTCAATTACTGACCTGCATTATTCTAAAACATTAAATTGCTGAAAGCTTACAGGCTTGTGAATCTCAGCTCTAGTTTAAAACACTGGCTCTCTTGTAAATAACGAGTTTGGGAGGGGCAAGGCTTAACTTTGTCAGCACAGTCCTGCGAGAACATAGTTACATTGCTTCCATCAGCAGTTTAGCTCTTGAAGCACCATGGCTGTAGCTGTACAGTGCTCCATAGAAGTGAAGCTTTGCTGAACTCACGCTTCCTAAAGAGATGGCTTTAAATAAGATAAATCACATTTTCAGACAACCTGTAAGTTCTCTCACATTCAGGTTTAAGTATGTGCCAACACTGTACTCCCCATATGAAACAAAAAGCGAGCAGCTGAGTACAGGGGCTGCTACTGCAGAAACACCCTCCCTCTAACAGGTTCCTCCTCACCATCCCTTGTTCCTTACACTCACCAAAAAAAGTGATGATAGGTGCTGCAAGGGGTCGAAGTAGGGGGAGCATTAGTGCATCAAGGAGACAAAGGACAAAAGACTGGCCATTTTACTGCAGGGTTGAATTTGACAACACCCAGAACATGGGCAACAGCAGGAATTTACCTTAGATTCCCCTCTCCCCTTCTGGAGTAAACCTTCTCTTGGGCAATCAGAATTAAGCACGTTAATTTTTATTTTTTTTTAAAGCATGCAACTGATAGGTTAGATGCATAAAAGCATGTAAACTATTTCAGCCTAGGACTTACATGAGCATTGAAATTAATATGAATAAGTCAACATATAAAATATATACAAAAACTTTTAAAGACTTGGGTCATAAATTCAAGGATTCTAGCATTCAAAAATGCCAAGGCATTTTATACATACATGTATTTAAAAAGAAAACTGCATTCTGTATTTTTCCGCAATACATTTGGCTTGTTCAGGGCACAAGATTAACATGTAGGTTTTCAAAATTTTGTTTGGCCATCACTGCTACGTGATCTGTGTAATTACTGCATAGTATAACTCTATTGCTCTGAAAACTAACATATTTGTTTTCTTAACAGGCTTTTTTACAGCTGTCATCACTAATACCCTACATTGCCTCACAATTGGAGGCAAACCTCCTGCAAAATGAGATGTTATTTTTACGGATGACCAGAAGAAGTATAAGAAAAAGCATCCACTTGATTATGCTATTTGAGACATCCTTTACGTGGTATTCTGGGCACAGATTTCATTAGCAATAGCTGTGACTGTATGCTTTCAGCACTTGTAAAATCAGATGAGGTATTCAATTTGAAACCCAGAGAATACGCAACAATTAGTCATTATTTGTTAAGTCTGGCTGAAATGATTATGGAAGATCCCATAGAAACTCTGAAGCAAAGACAGAACACTGCCTGAACCACCGGATTTTTAAGGCAAAACAAGAACATGGGGTTTAGGCCCTCATTACAAAGTAAAAATCCAACCTTACGCATTTCCCTGCCAGTCCTATAACCCAGTTCAAAATTCAGCTAATAGAAACACTTAACACACCTTATATGAATTTAGGAAGTATTTGATAACCCAATAAAAATTTTGAAGAGTTCTTACCTCATCATGTGATTCACATAGGCTTTGCTACAGCTAGTGTTGTATCTGCATAAGCTACAGTGGACATAAGCAGGAAAATGGCTTGCAAAATCTTTTATTTCCGAGTAACACTCAATGCATTTGTGAGCTCCCAAACGATACCTAACAGTAATACAAAAAAGTTAATAGTTAATATCAACACTTTAAGACGAGATAACTATTTCAAACTTTTTGCTTTAAGTCAGTAGCAAGTTTGCCCACATTAGGGAAAAAATGAGGAACTTAAAAATGTATCAGTTAAATACTTATTATAGGTTACATTAGCACACATGAAGAAAACTTTCTTTTTTTCTGAATTATACTGTCATTATGACCTTAATAAAAAAGTGAAAGTTAATGTAAGCATCTGTTATTGGCCACTCCTGGAAACAAGATACTGAGGTAGATGAGAACCTCCAACTTCAGCTGCTGCTGTTGTCTCTATGTACTGGAGAAGGATTTGAAAGAAATGCTTCATCCACCACAATGCACAGAAAAAGCCTTTGGTTTTCCTGTCACCCCTGATATTCCCCACAAGCTCTGAAATATCTACAAAGCAAGAATGTAATCCTGCTTTTCCCCAATTTTGCTGGCTGTTTTTGGATTTCTCAGAGAGCTACACACTGTGTCAGCACCTTGTTGGAAGGGAGACACCTACAATCTTTGACAAAGAAAATTGTTAACTCATCTTAGCCAATGAAATTATATTCTAGTCCATAAAACACCCATTAAATTATTAATATAAGGATAACAAAACCCAGTAAATTGTAAATATAAGGACAGCATTCTCCCAACAGCTTGCTTTTACTTTCTTGATTTTTTTTTTGGTAGCTCCCCAGATTAAGGTATCTCCTAGGACAGACAAGACTTAACCTTTTAAATAACGGTTTCAAATAAAACCCTTAAAAAAATTGAAGGAGGAAAATACTTTTTTCCCCCATAAGAAAACTTGCAAAGAACACCCAGGCAGACGTATGCTCCTCCACAGGTCACTTTTAAACATAAATCTGCCTGAGTCAGTATTTCAAGAGTCTGTGGCTCTGTGCAGAGAAAAATTCTAAATTTAGAACAGAAAAGTTTCTAGAACATCTGTTCTTCCATCATAAAGTAGTCTACCACCAACAAAATTGGTGAATGAAGATTCAGAATTATAATCACAGTACCAGTATGTGGAAAGTTTATGTGCCTGCTTTTTCTGCAAAACTCAAGTGTCAAATTTTCTGTATTGCAGTATTAGAAGTTATCGAAAGATAATTAAATGATCAGTTATTTATATTCGAAGTATACTTAAAGATATTTTTAATGCTAATATTTTACCTTAGATTACGCAATGCTGTATTTGTAACTTCTTTTTTTTTTTTGCTGTTGGTCCATGCATTTTGCTTCTTTGATGTAGTTGGTTTTGATTTTGCTTTTGACTTATTTGTATTAGATTTGTTATGATTTTTAGTGGTTGTATTTTTAGCTTTAGGTGATAACTGAAATGTGGACGTGCTTGTACTAACAGAAGATGTAGCTGATGATCCTGATTGAAGAGATCCAACAGACGCTCGAATAGTCACCTACAAGTACGAAATGAAAAATTTTTCTATTTAGATTTAAGCTTTCTAAGTTCCCATTTCTATTTGTCTCAAAGTTTAAGCCACTTTAGGACAAAAATCATAGCATAAGAAACACTCCTCAGTAAAGACTGCTTTGAAAAATATGAAATACTGTTGACTAGAATAAACCTAACCTCAATAGTCTATTGGATGCTTAAAAAGCTCTTGTTTTGGTGGAAATAGCCATGACAAAACATACTGCTCTCTTTTCAGACCTGCAACTGGCTACATCCTGCTTTCTTAAAAAAAAAAGTAGCTGTGGAAAAGAAACAGAAAGGTCAGACCAATTAGCCCTACTAAGAAGAATACCAAACAATCCCATCAGTGCCTGAATTTAACAAAAGCCTTGCGTCTGGTTGCCTCGTGATTAGCCAATCTACTTCCTTCAGATATTTTTGCTCCTCATCCTAGACCCCCAAGGACTAATTCTGGTTTCTGACCTCTCATCTGGCATTATTGCACTCCCTTGTCTTGCCCTTAAATTTGGTTCTCCAGTTTTCACTCGCAGCATGACTCCTAATTACACTTCTTGCCCAAACTCATAGTTTAGAAGCATCTCATCTTCTAAACCTGGTTCCAAGTTCTTCAGTCTCATCATCTACATCCTGTCAAGATCTACTAACACCAAAATCTTAACATAATCTAAGCTTTTATTAGATCATGAAGGCCCTGAAATCTTTAGAAAATTGAGGTATTGTCACAGAATAGAGAATCAGTGCTTTACATTCTGCCAAGTAACACGGTCAACATCAACTTCATTTTCCCTTCCCGATTCTACAGCAAATGAACTGTGAAGAGCTGATCAAAATGTTAATTTTCTTCTTCCTTTCAACTGAAAGGACACAGATCTTCACACTTCATTAAAAAACTGTAGAAAAAAGTCCTGAAAGATACAGGAATATCCTAGTCTAAGTGGCTCCTTCTCCAGAAATGGAAGACTGATTTAAAGATAGCCTAAGTGTTCTGAGGGGACCCAAGTTTACTTCATAAAACACTTAGCAGAAAATTGCGGGGGTTTTTTTCTCCTTCAAATGCTGGAGCTAAAGAAGACCTGGTAAACTCAGTTTTAAGCATATATTGTCTATGGAGAAGTAGGTCTTGCACTCTGTATGATTTTTTGCCACCACCTTCCACAGGTTGAAAATCATTCACAAGAAATGATGCAGACCCCTCAGACCAACATCCAGACTATCTCCTTTTCTCTAGCACAAGAAAGGATAAATGGGAGGGGGCAAATTAACCAACAGCTCAAGAAAGCAGCAGCACTGACTGGACTACTGGCATACACATATATGGAAGAATGGGACAGAGAGCAACACCACAGATCACAAGGAAGAAACCATAAACTGTGCCTGGCCATTCTTGCAACAGAAGTATTTTTTAAAGTTTTAGTTTTAGAGGTGGCAAAAAAAATTTTTTTTTGCTTGGGAAAAGAAACAAGAAAAGCACTTCTTTCTATTCCACCCCTTTCTTTACCAATACATTTTTTTTCCTTTGTCTCCTCTGATTTTCCTGTATGAACACTTACCTTTGTTCCAGGAGGCAATCCTTCTAACTGTTTGGGTTTCCTAAATGTTCGGTGATGCTGAGTTTTGTGATCCATTTTTTCTTTGCATGTCAAAAATTGCAGTCTGCACTTAGTGCAACGGTATATTCCTTTTTTCTTTTAAAAATGGAAGACAATCTATAGTAAGCATGAATGTGATGATAAACAAAACTCCAACCCTAGCTTGTCTCAAGCAATGGTCATCCAGTTTCTAAAACATCAACTGGACAAACTCATAATATTGTACAAAGCCAAGATACTGTGTAGGAATTAAAGAGAGAATATTTAAATACCTGAAAATGCAAGGCAGTATCATTACTAAGAGGAGGAGGAGTCAGGTTACCAGTTACAAGAAGACACAGTACTTCATAATCTTTTTCTCTACTTGAACTACAGAAAGGTTTGCTAGTAACCTCAAGAAAAGCAGAACACATCACTACAACTTAATGAAAAAACCAAATAGCAGAGATATTCTTTCAAGGATATTCAGAGATTTTTTTAAACAGGGAGCTGCTGTCACACAAAAACATGACAAATTCTAACAATTCCCTTAAAGACTTCAAAAGACACAGTGATAATTCTTCTACTGTATTTTATTAACTATTCTTATGCAGTAACAACCATACAAATCAGTTACGTCTTTTTTTCCAGAGAGATTCATGACATATATTTAGCATTTTTCTAGCATGAAGGATTGAAAATATCTGCTTACCTGATGCCTCATGTAATGATGCATATACGGTGCTCCAATTTTAATTACTTTGAGGCAAAATGGGCACAGCAAATGTTTTGTATTTTCATGAACTGTTCTAAAATGTGTTTCGACATCTGAAAAAGCTGAGGATCTGTAGTTGCATACCTAAAACAAAAAGTTTGACTTTCTTGTTGAAAGTTTATTGACAGTAAAGACAGGGAGGTGGTGTAATCTAAATACAAAACAGTCACTCTGAGATACCTGGCAAACATACGGCATTTCACCTGGCTTATGATTGTCCTTCATATGTTGCAAAAGAACTTGCTCTGTTTCAAAGGATAATTCACAGATTTTACAAATAGCTAGAAAAAGTGAAAAACAAGAAAAAAGTAAAAATTTGTTTGGGGTCAATAAGTAGATAAATTATAATACATATATGTATGTGAACTGTATAAATCTATAAAGGTAAAGCAATCTAACAATTATTCTACTCTTCAGAAGAAATTCCCTGTACAATTTCAGGAAGCCAGAAGTGCTAGGCCCTTAAACAACAGGAATTCTTGCAGTCAAACTTTCAATTAAAAAAACAAAACAGAAAGCTTTTTAAAATGTTTTTTTTTTCCTACACACATTGTTCTAACATAAATTGAATGAGTGCTCAGCTCCTATATTAAACCTCAAGATTATTGCTCTTTAAGTACAATAGCTTTATTCTGAAGTTACAAACCAGCAAAGTAAAAGTCAGAAAATATCTAAAAATTTTAGGTGTCAAAAAGATTCAATGTGATACAATCCAACTTACTAGATGACTCGTAAGGCGTGTGTGTACTTTCAATGTGGCACTGCAGCTGGAATGGGGTGGGAAACTGACGGTAACAGTGCTGGCAGGTGGTGTGGCTTTCCCAACTTTCACTGCTCTGCTTCTCAAGCTCCAAGTGATGTTTCATGTGGTTCATAAACCTTTAAATGATAGTGAACAGGTGCAAAACCCTACATTTTAACATTCACTATACATGACATATCACATGCAAGATGTACAGGATTCTTTAGAAACTTTACTCTGTAAGGACTTCTCAATTTCAAAATTCTTGCCTTGAAATAAAGGGAAATTAGCAAAGGCAACAACAACAAAACATGTCAGCTGTTCACAACTTCACCGCCACCACACTCTCAAAGCCACATTCTGAAGCAAGTATAACTTTAGTTCCAGAAGCTTTCTTTGTATAAAGCATTTAGGACTGAAGTTGAATTATGAAGGACAGTTATCAAAGAATGCCACTGTGCAGCTGACAGTCAAAAGAGTATGAGAAACTTGGTGGTATGTTACTACTTCAAGTTACTACCTTTTCCTCATTAATATGTCCACTTATCTGTAGTAGGAACCTATTCTGGCTGAGAAGTCAAGGCACTCATGACAACATTGGCAGGTCACAGTTACTGGTGGAGCAGCACAAGGACAGGTTAGTTGCACAACCCACTGCTGTTAAACTTCAAAAACTGTTCTATTTTGAATGTGCTTCATTTCAGTACAGCCAGAGGAACTATTAAATGTAGGTCACACTCACAAAAGGAATGTAGTTCTCAAAGTATTGACCTTGGAATTGGAAAAAAGAAATAAGCAAGGAGAACAGTCTCTTGAGCTCAAGCTTCTAATACCCTGCAGTTGCTTAAGAAAAGAAAAGAAAAAGGGGGAAAAAAAAAAGCTAACTGAAGATATCCAGGTGCCTAAGCAGAAGAAAGGAATTGACTAGTACTGCATATTACCTTAACAGAACATTATTTCAACGGTGTGTTCAACCATAGATCTTTTAAAGGAAGCAGGGGATTACCCTGATGAATCACTTTGTGCTTTCCTGAATTAAGGTCCAGAAAACTTCCACTACAAGTAGAGAGGTACTATGCATTTATTTTGTCCACTATAAATGGTTAAAGATGTAAAATATAACTTCAGAATTTTCATTCCACGGTATAAAACTATGGAATACAGCTACAAAGTTACAGCAAAAATTAATATGGCAGAAAGTTGACTCTAGAGAAAGTAAAAGAAAAAATTAAGTGCTCATTTTTAATGACTTGCTGCGGAACACATAGGCACCATAGCACCAACAGCTTACAATATAATCCTAAGTAGAAAATAGTGCCTGAAAAATATTTTTTAAAATGAATCCTGTATCTTAATAAAGTATTCATTCTGTGGACTACTTTTCATGATACTGCAAGAAAGGCTTATTTGAAAAGTATTATACATACAAACCCAGAAGAATAACCTCTTGGCCCATATCAAACTGTTTATTGCTCTTAAAAAGATAAATTGCAAGGGAAGAAATGCCATAATTAACAGGAACTATAAAATCATGAGAGTAAACTCTTTTAAAGTCTAACAAACATACATTTTCAAGCTGCTTAAGGCAAATTACTGGCACTTTTACTTAGGATTTACACATACTTAATGATTAATAGCAAATTTAATGTTTGTAATTACAAGAAACTTTTGTTTTCTTCAATAATATGGGTCTAATGTTAGCATAAACCTGTTCATTTTAACTTGCAGACTGTGCCCTTTGAAGGAATAGTCCATTTTTCAGTTTTACATTCTGCTACTTCAGCTTCCCTTGAAGAATGCATGTAAAAAAGTTCAATGACCTTAACTTCCAAAGGAACAATGACATGAACTCGTCTACCTATTAAAACAGCTTACTGAAGTTTTTTGCAGCATTTGGAAGTAAAATTATTCCATCAAAATAACAGATGTTACGTAAGTAATGCACCAACTATTAGTCACTGTGCATTCCTAAAGGGAATTAACACTCGCATCTACTAATATCACCATCAATCCAGATGGCAAATTGTAAAATACTTTCTGTTGCCCTTTCTAACCCCAAAGTCCTACAACTGCTCTCATTAACACCATTAACATTTGTACTCTAATCTGTCAAAAGTTTAAGTTATGGCCATACATGCATAGTAAAAATTAATTCCATTTCTGTTCAGTCACCCAATATTATCCATTTTCAATAAGAAAAAAATTTTCTAGTTCAGAGACACAACTTTTTAATGCATGAGACTAAGTGCTATGTGCTGTAAGCGATTAACAAACAATTAAGGAAGTGAGTTCAAATACCTTATGTTATTTTTAAGAACTTTCAGACAACTGAAGCACTTAAATGTTGTATGAGTCTTCTGCTCCTGTTGTACCTGCTGGGTGTCACCGTCATGTTTCCCATAATAAAAGTCATTAACTAACATAATCAATTTTCCTTTCTCAGATTCAGCAGTCTTGCTTGTTGTGCTCGAACATTCTGTTTTGGCCATTCCCAGGAAAAAGTTATTTACCATATCTGGACAACAATACTGGATGGAAAGGGGGAGGACAAGAGACAGACAGAGACAAAGGTATCAGTCTCTCTTACCAAACTGCGTCGATGACAACAGCGTTTTAAAAACTGAAGCAACTCACTAACTAGAGTTAGATGCAAAGTTCAATTCTCTGACACACCGACTTTATTCATATTTACATATGGATTTTGAACAGTAACTGATCTTTAGGTAGTGTTTAGGTAATAAAACACTACATATTATAAAAGCTGAAAAGGGATTATTCTCATAGGTTCATGTAAGATAAACTTAAGCTAGAAATCAGAATACCAGTATTGCCTTACTCATTAGAAAAATGTCTATTTCATTTATATTTAATAACGAGAAAGAGAAAAGCAGCTTTTATGCAAGTATTTTGCTGACAAGCATAAGTTTACTGAGAACTTAATGGAAAGTTTTATCTTTCATTTCTTTGGGGAGGACATATGTTGAAACCTGCAAAAGTTCTTTCCAGCATTACTGAAAAATTCAGAAATTCTAAGTCACACAACACACATTGTTCAAGCTTCTTTATGTCAAAGCGTACGTAATGAATCCTTAACCCAATAGCTATAACATAAAACTTAACACTTAGAAAGTATGAAGTACTTCATACAGAAGATGCTATTAAGTTTCCAACTGTGAACAAAATTAGCATATTCTCTGCAGACAGATCTTTCTCCTGCTGAATAATGCTTCTAACTGTGTAGGACTACTTTCTGTAAGCCTACTAGTAAGGAGTTAATTTCCTACTGTGGAAGTGTAACTCAGTATATTTATCCCATATAGTTTAACTAAAAAATTAATTAAATAATACTAAGTAAACCCACTTCAATGGTTCTTTCATTCCATTGATGTACTCAGTGCAAAAGCTATTCTCTACAAATAATGATTAGAGAAAGATAAAACCCTTGATTTTTTTTCCACTGTTATGTATGTTTCTTAATTGTGTTTTGGAGATGAAGAGGACAGTAGCTACCACTTAAGGTATCTTAAGCCCAGTAAATCAGAATGATCTGTGTTAACAGTAACTCAGAGCCTCACAGACTTCTGTTACACAGTAGTTCATACTCCTTTTTGCATGGGTTATTCACATTGTCTATAGAGTGCAAAGCCATTTCTCCACCCCCTGAAACGGAATACATGTGCCTGAGAATTGCATGAATCTTTGACAAATAATAATAAATATTTTCCAGGAAACAATGTTTCCAGAAACAATAACAAGCAGTTTCATAAGCAGACTAAGTGATGCTTAGTTTCTCACAGTGTTTAAGTATGAACTACAAATTAAGTTTTTCCCCTCAGCTTAACAATTTAGCTACCAAATGATATATCAAGATAAAGAGGTAAGTTTATACTGTCATCTTTGTCTCAGTAGTGATCTAACACAGATGTGGGTCAACTGGCTGCCTATTATCATAGGCACTTACCTTCATCAAATTCACCTGAATCTGGCCAATGCTTCAAGAAGTCACAGCTGTGGCAGAGAGAAATCATACAGAGACAGCAAATATGCCTCAATTCATTGGAAAAATAAGGCAAAAAGTGGCAAGATTTAGAGCTCCCCTACTCCATTCTTCCTCTCCATGACTGCAAGACATTGAGCATTTGGGGTCTGGTTGATCACAGCCAGAAGCCAGACTATCTTCATATCAAAACATGGCACTCTTTCGTAACCAAACAGAAGCCCACATAAGTTTGTTATAATGTTTACCAGCCCCAAAATATTTTACCTTCATATGATTTTTTAGAGGGTCCATAAGATTGAAATGAATATTGCACTTCGGACAAGCTCGTGGAAAAGGTCCTCCATTTTTAATGGTGTTTGTTGCAGCATTTGTACCTGTCAAATTTAAAATATGTTAAGATTCAGAATTCACAAGCAGAATACTTGATTTATTATTATTTATTATTCTAGCAAAATATGCTTTTTCAAATGAAAACTACTACAATTGATGCAGCTGTAGTAACCATAAGCAAGGTTTTACAACCATTTAACTACCCTTCCTTTTTTCCAAACTGAGTTTGAGTTTGCTCTGTTTGATATAGACCTATAAACAACTATTACAAAATCTTAGCAACAAATAAGGAAAAAATGGAAGGGGGTGAAGGTAGCATGATAGAGACAAAGCATTAATTCTGTGCACTGCCACCCCCCTCCCACCCCCTGGATAGGACAGATTATTGATGTTTTTGTTTTAAGAGCTTTAATTCTCAAATGAACATGTAAAACTTGTTTTATGCCATGACCTGATCATCATCACAATAGGGTTCAGATAACTGGTTTTGGAAAGGAATTTCACCATCTGGTTCTCAATGATGAGAATATTTCTCTCTGGACAGTTGTTGGAACCTAGGCCTATTCAGATGCATCATTCCTGTTGAGCAAAGGTGTCTTTGGAGAACCTGGAGAATAAATCCTCTAAATAATTACTCCCAGTAATGAAAGGAAATAGTATTTCTCTTATCAACATAAAATGATTAATACCTTTTGAACAAAAACAAAACCGCTTTGCATTAGCTTAAACTTTAATGAATAAACCCAGGCTTCCAGTTTTCTCCAAAATGCCAAAAAACATCAGAGCGAGAGCTACTTTTCCAGATGAAGTTCTCTTGCATTCTCAAGTCATTCACAGATCTGGAGGACTCCATGCTGATTAAGTATTTTAGAAGAAGAGGTTAAACACAGGAAGAGTTTTAAGTAACATCTCAACACCTCAACTGTAGAGTCAACTGTACCCTGCCAGGGCTATGAGAAAATGTAATAAAAATAAACACACAAATACATCCACCTTATAACAAGGGAATGAGTAAGTGTATGAGTTAAGAGATGACCATGCAACAGCGTTATACATTTTTTTCACAAAAATAGTCTTGCATGGTCCATGAGGTAGACATGGATCAAACAGTGTTTTTCCTTGAAGATAACAGTATGGCTAAGAATCGTAATTAAGCAGAAAGTCCTTCACATGAGTGGATGGCCATGCAAGAGATGCACCACAAAACAGTGCTGCAAGTCTTCACCATTACAGTTTGTAAAACATTTTGACATGTCACAGCAAAGTGCAAGCTGAGTGGGAAGAAAACAGGTTCTGCAGCAAGATCTAGTGTTCTGTGGTGCTTCAGTGCTGGATTCTGTGACAGATTAGAAATCGCTATGCTAGCATGGGACAGCTTAGAGACAAACTCTTAAAAATAAAGTTCTTAGTGAATATGATCTACACCTTTGTTACTGCACTTAGTAAGCTCCTCTGGTTATCTTTTCTATATTATAGGCTGCAGCACAGTATCTGTTCTACCCAACACAGGGTGGAGAAAAATTTTTTGCTGCAATATTCCATGTTATAGACACTTCCTTCTGGTTGCTGGGGAAGAGTCCGAGAGCAAACCAGCTGCAAACAAGACATGCAAAAAACCCAGATATGAAATGATTCCAAACAACAGAACCACACTGCAGGTAGCTCCTCATTTTAACATTTTAAGAGAGAGTACGTGGTTGGAAATATCTCAAAGTCAAGAATAAATCCTTGTCTATTACAATCAACTGTAAAGCACCTTTTGGCTCAGGAGGAAAATGCAGCTAGTTATTAATACACTGAAACAGCTGGACTATCTCTCCTTGTAGGGAGGGAAAGGTCTTTCAAAGAACATCCTCTCTTTGAAACTTAGATTCCCTTCCTCCTTTCCCACTGCTATTCTAAACTGTATCAAAACCACTGCTGCAAAAGAAAGGGGAGAACTGCAAAACACACTTTGCAATAGTTAGTCGAAGTACAGAATCACAGAATAATTTAGGTTGGACCTGTGGAGGTGTTTTTGTCCAACCTCCCACTCAAAGCAAGTCCAACCCTATCAGGATGCTCAGAGCCATGTCCAGTCATCTCCAAGGATGGAGATTCCACAACCTGAGTCCTTGCTGCCTTGCCTGACATTCCTACAATGATTTTTTTTTTTCTTCCTTTAATCAGAATTAGTTGATAAATTCAGCAGTCACAGAATTCTTTCAATCTTGATTTTCTGGTTGGTTGTTTTTTAGAGTTTCAACTCTCTATTCAGTTCTTTGACATAGAAAATCTGAACTAAGAGTATGAGGTATGGGGCATTTTGATCATCTGTCTTCTGTCTGCCACTAAACAACTTAACTAATCATTGCTTTACAGAATTCAAACATACCTACTAAATGATAAAGTTCTAAAATTTGAATAGGTAATAACCTAGAGTGTATTAATTTGTAAAGGTATATAAATCCTTGCATAGAAAGGTTTTGCTTATTTTAAGGCATAAGAACAGAGTTTATTTATTTACACTGCCTTAGTAGCATTAATAATACCAATCAACTTAAACATTACAAAAGTGCTAGCTTTTTCCATGAAACAGATGCATGGATTGACAGCTAGACCATTTGATCTACCCTACCTTTTGAAGATACATTTTGTGATGGTGTTACTGTTGGAGAGTTAACTGTAGGTGAAACAGATGAATTGCTTCCAGCACCAACCTCATTAGGCTTGGCCTTTTTTGGAGTTACACTGTTGCCTTCAGAAGTAGCAGGACGCTTAGATACAAAAACACTCTCATTCAGACCTACAGTGGTTTAAATTAAAGAACCTCAGTTTTTTTCCATAGTATATTACAAACACATTACTGATGCCTATACTTTAATAGGTGGACAAGTCTACATAAAGCAGTTAAGATTTCCCTAAAATAATAAGCCATACAGAAGTTAAGAAAACAATATCCAACTCAGACCGAATATTCTAAGGCCAGCGGAGAAGGAAAGGGTAAATGCAAAGAGAAACAGCCCCATCCCTGAAACCCAGTAAATCACACTGTGACCACCTGAATTTATTTGTCCTACTTTTCACATCTTGACCCACACTAATCTGAGACTCACAACAACGTGAGTTCACAGTAATAAAGTTAAGCTAAGCAGCTGGTTTCTGCAATGCCCCCTATTTGGAACAACCTCTGCCCTTCTGATGAAAAACATCTCCTTTTTTTGGTCCTATGTTAATGCTGGTTTAGTTTATTATTAAACTCTGTAAAACATTTGAGACTTCAGTTTGTATGCAAAATGAAAACAGTGTTGTAACTTCTAATAACCAATCACAGCACACCTATTTGCTCTCTTCTGAAAGAACAGTTGGTTCATTTATTGTTTGCGGTATTTCTTCTAAAAAAAGAAAATCACTAAAAAATAACTCAGAAATTCAGAGGTTCGGTGCCTGATTAACATGCCCATCAATACTTGGCTCCATCTTGTCCTGAAACTCATATGTCTTACTGTAAGATTACCCTTGACGATGTAATCTCAATACAGAGATCAGTCCTCAAGTAGACCTGAAAGAGCACAGCTACATACCAAGAAGTCTGAAGTGCCAGCACAGACCTTGTAAATCTCTCACAATCATAGGCTGCAAATAGCCTTAAGACTATGATAAACTATGACAAAGACCAGACTTTAGTTCCAGACACAATGATCTGAACTAAGAACATTCTTGTATATTCCACTCCCAACGGTCTAGCTGCTCCAGTGATTTCTTCAGGTGTAGTAAGAAACTGAATTAGTATCTTTAAAAGTCTTCTCAACAAGCAGAGCTAACTTGTGTCACATAAAATTACTCAAACTTCTTCTGAGAAGAAACAAAACAACCCCCTCCCACCCGCAAGTTGTGTTTACTCAGTGGTAACTATCTTCACCTAGCAAACAGTCTGGATAGTCTCCCCATTTAATCCACAGAGGCAAAGAATCCCAGCAGGGAATGCTGATATTTGAGCATCTTGGAGAATCTACCTCACTATGCTTCATATACAGGAAAACATAATTCACTTGTTACATATGTATTTAATCATCCTAACGTTCTCCTTTCCTTCTTTCTGACATAAATGAACATATTAAGCTCAAATGTCTCACTCTATGCAGTGTTTGCCTAAGGTAATTAACACATTCACAAAATAAACTGGTTATTCATTAGATACTACTACTTCCTAGTGTTTTTTAATTTACTTATACTCGCACTGTTAGGTATATGAGCTGGTTACATTGACATGTGTCTTGATTAGCAAAGGCTTCCATACAGCTGGTATGACTTTAGCATTCTTCTGTATCACTGAGGCTATTCGAGCATCAGGCCACCAACCTACAGCAGGAACTGCTGCTATATATTTAATTATGTGTAGTTGTGTAATGAGGGCCAGGGGAAAGACAGAAGGGTCTGACTGATTTTACAGGAATCTTCAGTAAAGTACTTTATTTTACTGTAGAAAATCTGATCTGGAAAAAAGAACTATTTTTACATATTAACAAAATTGGTAATAATTTAAATCTAAAAAGTTTGACACATCTGTGACAAAAAAATTGAAGACTATTTTATATATTTATAAAGGTGAGCATTCTTAACTCAGTTTATACAACTCTGATCTAATAAAAATACCCTCTTTCAGAAGAATTATAATAATAATAGGAGAATAAACATAGGTTTGCATTTGAATTCTGTTGTTTGTTCATTTAAAAAATAAATTAAAGCCTATTTTTAAAAATAATCAAACCAATTCCAAGTATTATTTAATATCTAGCTGGTATAAATCAGATTGATTCCTCTTTTCATCAAAGTGCCTCTCTCAACTGGTGCATGGACACAAGAATCCCTTGGATCACCCATGTTCCAGACTAGTTTGTCCAATCCTCTACCCAGCAGATCACACAGCTGAAACTGTCAGGGACTCCAGGTACTCAAGAGAGCAGAGAAAAGCAGCAGGCAACAAATTCTTGTTTGGTTTTCAGGCTGCTCAGGAGTCTATTACCTTCACTTCACGCTATTGGTGAATACTTTTGTAAATATATTGTAGCTATTACGAAACAGTTGGCTATACTCATACACACAGTATTATTGTGTACAATATCTAAAATGATTGCAAGAAGGAGCAAAGTATACTGGATGCAGTATCACCTTGCCGACAGCTTTCTAATCACACACTATAACACTACTGTAAAATCCTTAACACTGTTATGTGCATCTGTGCTTGCTGGGCCTGATTTTATGAATGATGGCAGAAGACATTAGAAATGGTAACCAAGAATAAAAGCATCAAATGTACTGTGATAAGTGGTAACAGTCAGATGAAATTAACAGAAGAGAGACATGAAAGCCAAATTATTTCAGGCCTCTAGTGCATTGTCCCTCACCAACATCTCCCATTAATCTAGTACTATGAACGCACGTATACAGTCCAGTCAACTACTAAATACCACAGAACAGTTCTTCTATTGGTTATGGCATTTTCTGGTTCCTGCACGTGGGTAAGATTTGTGGGAGAATGATCCCAAAATATTCTCGGAAAGCAAACTACAGTTTTACATACATCCCCAGTGCCCATCCAACCTGCAGATAAGAATTATCAATGCTGTTTTACTTAACACCACCACCTATTTAGCAACCTAACAAAATGGTTGGTTGGTGTCCGTTAGCAGCTTATCACTTCCCTGCTTAGACCTCAGAAATAAATATTTATGCTATATTGAGCTAAAAAATGTCTTTAATGATCCGTGTACAGAAGTTAAATTGTCCTGCAGAGTATCACAGGCCAGTTCCCAAAAGGATTCTGCTTTTAAATACCATATTCCAGAATGTCTTGTGCCCACAGTGCTGCACATGAATTACAGGAAGCATAGCACCAACACAGGCAAGTTGGCATCACCACATATAAACAAAACGAACGTAAGCGCATTATGTGACCTCACCATGCAAGCCAAACCACAAAATACGCAGATGCTTCCTTGTTGTGAAGTGAAATGTATCTTAAATTTGCCTTCTGTGTCATAAAGATACTTGTGTTTCAACCCACAATTATAAACCTTTTAATTTCTAAATCCTACTGCCATCTTACAGAAATAAACATAGTCTAAGTATGGTATATTTAAGACACTTTGAATTACAATCCTTGATGCTTTTAAGTATTTAGTTTTTCTGGATAAGAGACTAATACAAGTAATTTTTAAATATGCAAGCAGGTCTCCTAAATTAAAAACAAAAAAACCCAACAAAAAACAAAAAAAAAACCAAAACACCCCACCCAAACCACAAACAATTAAACTTTAACACCTGTTCTTTGGAGAACAAGGGCTGAAATACTGAACCATTTGCAAGAAATAAAACCTTTGCTTACTTTACAAAAAGCTATTTAACTCAGTAAGACAGGAACGAGATCACAGAACAGTCGGACACATGCAAGGAAGTACACTACCAACCCTTCATTGGTAAGTATCTGGAGTGAATACCTAAACTAGAGATGCAAAATCATCACATCAAACAGAATAAACTAGCAATCACTCTGTTCTACGTAACTTGTTAGTACGACCAGTATGACCATTCATTGTACATAACCTGTTACCTCATGGAAGAATCAGAAGTGATTGTCACCTGTAACTTTTAGACTGAATGACAGGATTCTGGTCAGTTATTACAAAAGTGCAATCCTTCACAAAAGAGAAGGGAAGTCCCAAGTTATAGCTGTTTAAGATCAAATACACCGCATGCTTCAAATCTACTTCATCTGCTGTGACACAAAAAAAGGCACTTCTTCGTTTGTTTTTAAGTAGGTTAAATAGTTTCTGCTGAAACACAATTTAGGTAGTTAAAAAAAAATTTTTAGTTGTCAAACTACGTATTCTTTCTCTTCCCCTCCTTTTCAGACAGGATCCTTTTGATCCCATCTACTCCAACTCCTATATATAGCAGTCAGGAAACCAAGATCATCATCACAGGGAATCCACTCAGCAGACTCAGGAAGTTCTTCTGGTACTGTTCACAGCCCCTCTCTTGCTAACAACCGTTCTTATTCATGCTAGTCAAAGAGTGCTGGATACACTGAAAACGAGCCTTTACTGGTCAAAAAAAATTACAGTGGACCTGGCAATATTTTTTTCCATCTAAATGAGCATTATAAGAAGACATCAGTTGATATTACAGTCAATCTAATGTGCTGAAAAGCAAAGTCTGGCAACACAAGGCTCCAAAGTCTATTTCATTAAACATTATACAGTGTTATGTACAGGGGGAAGAAAAAAAGTAGCTATACTATGTTCTAAAAAGCCTATTTAAAGTTATAACCCAAAGATCTGCACTACAGTTAAATGACAGGCTGTTTCTTTCTCTTATCAACTACTACAGTTATACCCACCTGTTACATTCACTGCTGGCCCAGTCTGGTACTGTGGAACTCCCGAGTTCTGTCTCACACCAAACAGTATACCAGATGTATTATCTGGTGCAGCTGGTGGAGAATCCATAATATAATCCTAATAAGATATTTTCAAGAGGGAAAAGAAATTTGAGGTTTAACATTTTTTTTTACTTGCAGGCTTCAAAGGGTTTATTTTAAAAACATATGATTGCTTAAAAGTACTCATAAGTACTCAGCTGTAAATCAAGTTAATTACAATCTCCCCAAAATAGTTTCTTTTGACATTTTGGTAAGTTTGCAACTCTTATCAGTGGTTGTTAAGTTATTCATAGCTGTGTATCAGAATAGTAAAAACAACCGTAAGACCTGGGAAAGTCCATTTTATTAAATATTACTAAACCTGTTTGAAATGCTAATTGTAACTGCTTTTGTTCAAAAGTCTGACAATATTTCAAATTATACTTGTTTTTCAAAAAACTCTAATACTTTCTTCCTTCAACCCAAACTCAGGCATTTGCCTGTTACTCTTGTGTAACAGCTAGCTGCATTTGAAAAGATCAGAAAACAGAACTCAAAAGTAGCACAAACTTGCAGCAAGCAGAAGCTTCTCAAAGCAAGATGATATTAAAATCAATCAAATTCTACTAAGTGGTCAAGCTTTAATGAAAGTAAAAGTGTATCTATAGTATGTTGACTGGGAATGGCATTAAAATTCATTCTATCACTAAGGGATTTTTTTTCTTTTAGGTAGAGTAATTTCATAAGGAATTCTGGAAGTAATATAATCAAACCCTCTTTTCAAAGCACAGCTAACCTATAAGTTGGTTCATGTTTCTCAGCGCCTTGTTACATTAAGTTTTGAGCATCTACAAGTACAGGTAGCCTCTTCCCTTTAGTTTAAAAGGTTTGCCCTTTAGTACTACATAAAACCTAAAAAAATGAAATAGTCCATATTACTTGGCTCCAACACTGAAAACTGTTAAAACTAAACACCTTTACTGATCACTCAATAGGTAAAATTTGGAGGGAAAAGAAACATGAAATTTAGTTCTCTTTACAGATATTCAAGGCTGAGGAGTGAGGTAGGAGAAACACACTTTCCAAGATGCATCAATACTGCTCACGTCTTAATAGGCCATTCATCCTAACACAAACAATTGGAACATAAAATATTTTCAGCAATAGCAATAAGGAGTTAAGAAAAACCTTATAATAGAGTAAGGTTTAATTTCAACATTAAGGTATGAACAGCAAAAGATTGGCACTTGATCTTTCTACTCTGAAATAATTCAATTGGTTACACTTCACCAAGCTGTACTGTGAAACAAAAAACTTGACAAAAGTAGCTCAATTTTCCTAAAAAAAAAAAACAAAAAAAACCAAAAAAACCCACCACCCAATACACATACACAGACTTTGTCATCAGTGTATCCATGAGACAAAGGCCAAAATACTTTTTGCTGTAAAGACCAATCTCACAAAATGCTTCCCATTCACAATTGTGCTACTTATGTGAAAACATCCCTGTGGAAGTTACCACATTTTTAACTACCACCACATTGACTAAACTTGATGGAAAGAAGTCTAAAGAAGTGCACAAGTACACATACAGGTATGATAATCTATTTTAGGACTCCTAAGTACCAGAAGAGATTTGAAAAAAAAGGAAGATGCTTCTCCCCCCATCCTGCCTTTTTGTTGTACACCTCTTAAATGAAGACCCTGCAGGACCTTAATGATAATGAAGAGCCATTCTTTCTTCTGGTGAGTGATCTAATCCAATCTAACCAAATTAAACATAAATGTTCAAGAGTAGTTCTGGAAATAGTTACTAAATTTCTCTGCTCTATTTGTTATGAGTAACAGCTACGTGAGCTGCAGGTGTTGCTGTAGCCACAATGGTTTCAGACTAGCCAGTGAAATTACAAGCAAAGCAGCTTAATCTGCAAACCCCACGTCAAGCACAACTAATGCTCAGATGGTAAGTCTGTGGTAGGCTCTTAGTGTGAAGGACTACGCATACCACCTACGTTTGAAATATGACCAATACAATAGCTGCACACAAAATCTGCTTCTCTTACTACTCTGTTGTTGTGTTTTGTTTTTTTTTAAGTGCTGCTAACATTTTAACTTTCTTCAAAACAATATCCTGGGTATTTTGATGGCATATGTACATCTCCCTAGTATATACTAAACGTATCTGGTGAGTAAGAAAGTAAAACCAGATATCCTGGAAAGTCAAAGTCTCATAATTTTCAAAATGTCCTTTTCTGTTTACAATTATTTCTTTCATGCAATTTGGCTCTGTCATTTTACATACAGAAAAAAACCAGTATCTTCCCATGCTTTAGAAAGCAAAAATGTTTTAAAGAAAAAAAAACCCCAAAACCAAAACAACCAGCATTACTACATCAATTAAAAAAAAAAAATCAAAACAACATGTACAGGTGCTCTCACATGCAGAAAGGCAAAACCCAACACTTTTATAAATTAAGCTCCTAGGGCTCAAGTGGGAGGGGGAGGGGCGGGGAATCTATCACCACTCTTAGTTTTCCAAGAGACTAGTGAAAATACTGGGTTCATACTATGCATCCCAGATTTCCTAACTGTGGAAACCAACATGATAATTGGTAACCAAATCCACACAGAGGAATTACGATGCATGCTATTGGACCTTTGCTCTCCCAAAATTAACTAGGAACAACTGGAACCTGAATCACACTCAGACTGAGGAAAGTGCTTATTAAGTAGGGGAAAGATATGGACAGAATTGGCTGGGGCTTACTGGAGAGCATTCTGAGCGCTGAATTATAGATGATCTTCACCATTAAGAACAAATTTTTTGATAAGAAGAGGATAGCCGTATGCTGTCATATACAACAGCAGTAGCTCTGACTGAATTAGAATTGCTGTAAACAGTACGACTGAAGCCAAATTCAACTCAGAATTTTTGGAACTGCACTAACGTAGTGCAGTAACAAGAACACAAAAACTAGACTTTTACAGGAAGTCAGTGAATCAAGCCTATGATTGGAAAGGAGTATTTCAATGATAAAACTGGAATATCAAACATTGACAAAAGGTAAATTATAGACCTACTTGTTACAAAATTGAGTAAATGTGTGTTTCAACCCAGTTGGTGATCAAAAGCAATCAGTTCCCACAGAAAAAGCTTTGACATCTTGAGATTAAAAAATATTGCACCATATTAAGAATGCAAAGGCACTCTGAAGGATGTTCAGCTAAAGATAGGTCCTGCCACAGTGTCTAGTCATACCTCACAGTCATCTTCACATCACAATATTTTAATTTTAAAGTAAGTTTCAAAATCTGGAGGCTGAAGATCCAAACGTCAAACATTTCGCAGAAAAACTTATTTGAAGCCCTTGCCACTTTGGAGGAACCAAGTTGGGAAGAAACAGAAAATGTGTGAACGAAAGCGTCAAAGAAAGCCCAAGGCAGAAAATCATCAATATAAAATAGTGGCCTCAAGTGAAATAAAGACTAGATAAGGGGGGGGGAGGAGAGAAATCCAAAAAACCTAAGGACCTCTTGAATGAAGACAATTGAAACCAAGGACATGAACCAAAATACAGGTAGTATACAAATGACACTAAGAACAGCAAATGACATAATGTGGCAGGAGTGATATTAAAAATCACAGAACTTTGCCCAAGAAGCTAAACTATAGTACCTCACTAAAAAAGAAAAAGCACACCAAACAAGCCTCTTTCCACATTAAAAATATAACATAACCAAGTGGCAGGAACAATACAAAAACAAGAAAACAAATTATTCTAGATAAGGCTAAAATTGGAAATACAATTCTGAATCTAGAAAAGTTAAGTTGAAAAGATGGAAGACTCGCTTTCAGCATTTCTTAAGCAAGGAAAAAAACCCAGAAAAATCTTCCTAAAGGTACTCAAGAATTTCTTAACATCCAAAGAATAGGATGTTACATTTAGGATAACTTATGAAATTAAGAGCTCATGAAAGCTAGAATCAAAATGTCAACGCTGTAAAGAAACCATATTATATATAATTTCAACAGTGGAATACCTATGCACTGGATATCCCAGAAAAGGATGCATTACTTTCTAAAGCACGTCAGTCTAACTTGGAATAGACAGAACTGACTAATACATGGTTAGAGATCCTTTTCCATGCCGTGTACCTTGAAAGTCATATTTCAGGCTGCAACTTCTTCCAATAGGTGTTTCTCTACTCTGCCAGGGAAGAACAACAACCTGCAGATTTTGGCAAAGTAAGACTATAAAAACGTAACTAAAGTCTCATCTGTGATATTCCTGTTGAAAGTAAACTCGATGAATGAGAAAGAACTCTCACAAAAAGAAGTGCTGTGTGCATAGTCTCTTTAAAGGAAATCACTGCCTTGACGAGTTACGTCCAGCTTATACCTTTTGGAGAAGTTCAGCTTTCCTAGGTCTGTTCACTCTAAGGTTTTCTAATAAAAAACAGTGTAGAGGCCACTAGCAGCTTCATCTATTAAAACAAATATGAGCATGTATGGGCAAGGGAAGTAAAGGAGAAGGCTTTCTTTTGCAGTAAAGATTCTGCAAGACATCCTAGTACTCCTTTGAAGGATTTAATAAAGCATACTATGTCATAAGTAAACATTTATAAAAATAAAATTCACAGACTTGAAATATGTGTATACACTATGTGAAGTAGCAGATGTTTCTCTATTAAACTGTGCTGCTTTATAAAAACAGATTTAAGAGAACTCCAGAGGCAATCTAGATATCCTACCAATATCTGGACACTCCAGAGGCAATCTAGATATCCTACCAACATCTGGACTTTTGATTTTTTAGGCCTTCTTAGATACAGTGACAGACTGATTTAGCTAACTCACTTCACCAGACATGCCACAATTTCTCTCTGCAAACTATCAATCAACTACTGAAGACTCAAAATTGGAAAGTATGAGTTCTTCCCTAATGAATCTGCCAGAGATTCAGCGACCCAGTTGATAGGCAATGATTCCATTGCATTATTTTTCTTAAAATACAACCCCCCATTGGCAATGATTTAGCCACAAGTCTTAAGAAGAAGATCTAATTCTCATGTTTTAATGGCCTTATAAACTATGTTCATTCAGACCGATACGCCTGTTCAGCAAATGCAGAATACATTAGGCTGCATGATTTTTATTTATACCAAAAGACTGACAGCTGGGACAACTGCAGGTGTGTATATTTGCATGGACGGTGGAGATGGTGCCTACTGTCGGGCTTCATTTTAACCTGACAGTAGTAGCTAATATTATAGGCACATTGTCTAAACAGTTCCAGCTTAAATTATTTTCAATAAAGGTATCACATCATAGTTTACCTCATACAAATATGAAATTTTAACCTTCATTCTTTCTCTCTCACAAATGTCCAACAGCTAAGGCAATAAAAACAGCATCTAACTTGACTCCCTGAAGTTATCATTCTGAGGTTCTGTGACAATCCAGGAAGATCTATGATACATGATCTATGGGCATAGTTCCCTTGGGCTTTTCAAACAAGTATGTTGCTGAATTGTTTCATGTACTGACCCTGAAACTTTTGGTTGCTTAAGTCCTCCTTACCATACTACTGTTTCACTACAACTGACACGTGAACCAAAAAGCACAAACACCTAAGGAGATACCACTACAGCATTCTTTTAAGAAGTGCAAATCCCAGGAGAGGCACTGTAAAAATCAGGTGGGAAAACCAGTTACTTTAAACACCAAATGCAAGCTATTTAAAAATTAAATTATCAATACGGAGGATCCGTCTCTGAGCAGAGAAATCTGCAAAATTTAAAGAATGAGAATTTCCACCATTTCTCCACAACCTAAACAAAATAACGTAAACGGTACTGATTTCTTTTATGCCTAAGATTTTCATTTAATGTAATTCCACTGTTACTAAAGCTATCATTTTTGAGTCTTGCAAATCAGTATTTTCAAATACATATTTTAATTCACCAGTGCAAGGTTATGGTCCTAGAACCTTTACAGTTTATACAATGCTAGGCTATAACCTAGTCCAGGTCTTCAAATTACTAGACTGAGTCAGTATGTTCCTCATTAATTTATTCAAAAGTAATTGCACCTGAGTATTTTACAGTTTAAGGGAATAAAAATTTACCTGATTGAGTATTACAGGCTGTGCTGTTACAGTAGTCACGGGCCTGGATACAGGTTGAGCCACTACAGGAACCATGATATTTCTTGATACTGGCTGTGTCGTCACTGGAATCGTTACAGGTCTGCTAACAGGCTGTGATATTCCAGAACTTGACCCAGGCATCTGCTGTGTTGATAAACATCCAGTAACTGGTCTCTGCAGTGTTTGTGAAGTTCCTGAAACGTTCACTGGTATAGACAATGGCTGAACTGCTACAGAGCTAGCTGTAGGTCTGGATACAGACTGAAAGACTGATGAAACAGGCACGGCACTGGGGCTGGAGGCAGGTGTTGCATAATGGTGACTGTCAGGCTTGAATGTAGTAACTGTACCTGTTGCAAAGGATTCCAAAGTTATCTTTATATAATTTTGCAGTCAGATGTTTCATAAGTGTTGTGGATTTTTTGTTTTTAATTACCATATTAGGACAATAAAGTACCTCTACTGGGTGCACCATTCTGTATCCCCCTTCGTGATGAGCTGAGGTTGACTCTGTTCAATATATCTGTCAAAAGTTACATTTATCTTAATTGCAGTTAAATTAATAGCTTAATTGCTTTTCAAATTAAAAGTAGCATTCATATCCACTAATTAAGCCAATTAGGATTTGACTTATAAATTAGAATATTATTTAGAACATAAATACCTGGCAAAACAAAGCATCATTTGTACAAATTAAGGTACGTTCTTCTACTCCTCTTCTCTTAGGTTAAGCTAGTTCACCTAAGAATCTCAGTTTTTATTTTCTTGGAGATAGATTAACACACAAATAAGAGTGAAAACAAAAAAAGAACATTTCATAAATACTTAGCTTTGCTGATTATAATGCATTTATTCACTTCTGTTTCTCATATACATAGTAAGTTCCCCAAATACTAGAACTGCTCTACACTAAAGGAAGCATTTTCTCTAAACCAGTAACTACACAATTTGCTTCTGTATTACAGGAAAATACAGCACTTACAAACTTGTTTTTAGACTCCCATTTTCCAATGTGAAAGAAAAATCAACAGACCAGCAATCAAAGGAGTTGTGTTGGAACTGCATTACAAGAGAACTGATTTTCTTACATATCCTACATGGTTGTCTATGACCAGAGTTCTAGCTCATCAGAAACACATGGAATTTCTTATATTTGATGTTTACTCCCTAACTAATGCCACCAATATTCCCCGTTTTATGTCTTAGCCTGGGGTTTCTGATCATTCCAGAACGTTACAAAAATATTCACAAAATCAAAATATTTTTCTACCACCAGATTCTCAATTCCATTAGTGTTGCTGTCAAGTTTCTTGCTCTGACATGTGAAAATATGCATATGAAATTAGATTGATCCTCCAATATCTAACCAACAAGATTTAAAGTACCTTCTCAAACCAGGATCAAATTACATCAGGATCTCAAACAATAGATCTTAGAGTTATCTACACATTGTGTTTAATAACCTTAAGGCTGTTTCCACCAGCCATGGTTCATTAGCATACACTACTCAGGTTGATAAATAAATCTAATAGCAGTAGAGCTCAGAAGATCACAGCTTTCAACCTGTCACCTGCATTTAGATCATACTAATAAAAAAGCAGCTGCAACCAACAGATCCAAACAGGTTTGCATTTTTTAAGATATGATGAAATTTCATCCTGTAATAGTAATACTACTTTTACTTCAACACAACACTAACTACGAGCAAGGATTAACTTAATTTGGGACTTAGCTCGACACATACTTTTTTGTGTTTGTTAATAAATCTGTACCTCTGGAATTTGAATTCCAGAGTGAAATATAACTAAAGCCTTCATCTACCTACAAAAAAAAAAAAAGCGCTATCCTAAAAGTTATGTCTCACAAAGCATATTCGGCTTCAGACAGTCTGATGTGCACATAATTCACATCCTAAAATACAGAGGTAGATTTTACTGTTTTTAAAAAGAACATTTTAGGAAGCCAGTGATTTGAAATTATAAACTAGATTTACATGACTCAACTGATTCATCATAGACTTGATGTGCCCTTTCCCCTCCCCCATCAAAGCGTTATTTGTCCTGTTTAGGTAAAAGAACACTGAAGTATAAGAAAGCTAACATGCAGAACAACATTCTAAAGTAGCAACAAATTACAGGTTTGTATCATTACGAAAAGGGAAGCAAGAAAAATGAGCAGTAACTGTACGAAAAATGAGCAGTTGCAGGAAATGGTAAAGGGAACAAAGTGTGAATTACTTTCATCCCAGTCAAAATAACCCTCCAGTATGTCCAAAGAGGCACTTTATTGTACATGACACTGTGCCAGCAGGTCAAAGTTGGGTTTTTAACTATTTCCTTCAAGTTTTCCACACCAGTCTGTATAAAAACTGATAATTGCATTGTCAGGAAAAGGTTAAAAAAATTGCTATGTATTGCAGAAAACATACCTTTCAGAAAAATTAAGAACTACACGCGAGTCTCCATTTGTCATCTAATTTTTCATCTGATCAGAGAGGAATTTTCCCAGGTAAAAACTAAACAACAGTGATAAGCAAAGTTGAGTTCACTGTGTCTTGCCTATCACCAATAACAAACTGAAGCCTGACTACTGCCAGGTAGCACTACTTACAAGCCAGAGAAGAACTGAGGTCATTCTTCCATAGCTGTTTTTGATAGTGAAGTAGAAGATTACAAAGAGAAAAGTTGAGGAAAGGGAAGGAAAAGAGATAAAGTAAAAAGTTATACCATAAGTGATTTTACTTATGTCAGGACTGAGTATGGACAGCACTAGAATAAGATGCATACATTGTAAGTCTCTCTCTTTTACCAAAGTTCTTGAAGTTGCTGAATCATATCAAAATTGTAGTTTTCACCTGAACTATTTCTATCCTTTATGACTAAAAAAAAAAATCTTGAGAATACAATGACTGCAATGAAACTTGGCATATTTGTTGTTCCAACATATGCCTAGTGCCTTAATAGTTGTTCTGTGCCATGACCTACTGCCAATGACCCACAGCAATCCAGAGGTCTCTGGACCTCCCAAAAAACAGTAAGGGTATTTTTCAGTCCTTCTAGAAGTTTGTAACTGTAGAAAACTTCTTAGAGTAATTTTTAAATAGTCTTCAAATTTTCAAGAGGATCTAGAATATTTTTAAAATATTCAAAAATATTAACCCTTAAGAACTATTTTCAGGTGAGAGAACTTTAACATCAGCTTCAGTATTTCTTTAATATTTAAAACATAATTTTCCACTTTTTTAAGCTAGTGTAAGAAGCATTAGACTTACTATCCCAGTGAGTAACAAAGTAAAATAGAGTTCAGATGCAAGATAAAAGTATTGTGAACTAAAATGACTGAACAGCTAATAATAGCTCCGAAGTCCATGCAGCAGAGTGTGACAGAGAGCCTAGTTTAACATTTTGTCTTGAGATTCTTCACTGCAAACTATACACCTTCAGAAAATGACTGTGGAAATCTTGGGTGCAAGCATAGCAGAGATGAGGCAGAAACTGAAATCAGTAAACCTCACCAGGCAGTCTTGTGTATTCAATAGCTAGAGAAACCTTAGGTCAAACCTCTTAACAATTGACTGTAAGATGGCTGCATACAGAAATCAGAAAGTTTCATTACTAAAATTAATTTAAGTAACAAAAATAACGTTCTCCTTTACTTACCTGCCAAAGCCCAAGCACAGGACAAACATGGAATCCTGACACATCTGCTGTCATCACAACCACCTAACCTCACTCCCTGCACTGCCTGCATTAGGAGAAAACTACAGAACTTGATGAAAAAACCTATTTATTTTACAGGGGATGAATGAATTTATTAATAAAAATCTCTTACTTAACAGAGAGGCTTCTACTATTTTCACATTAATTACTTTTCCTGATTGTGCTTTTATTATAGATACTTAAGACAGTTACCCTGGTTTTGTCAGAATGATGTCCACCCATTCAGACTGTCCACCAACACATGAAACGTGGGGTGGAGGAAAAAGAGGGACTGTAACATGAAGACTTAAATTCATGCACGTTACTTTAGTAGGGAGACACTTCCAAGTATCTAACTAAATATCAACTATATTAAGAGCAACTGCATGCATGGTTTCAGCATTGTATGTATTGGACTTTTAACCATATTTTTAATGCTAAAACCTTCAAACGTCCTTGTTTTGACTTCAGAGATTTAAGGTTAGAGGTAGACACAGCTGTGCATAACCTGGGTTTTAAGACAGAATTTCTTAAGAATTTCAATTTTCAGTATGACAGAGAACTACAGAACAGCTTTAAGATGTAGAATTTCTTAAGTCTTACTGTTAAAAATTCTGTATTTTCAAAGTAAGTTTAAAGTTTTACACCTTGAAATATCTGTTTTAAATTATGGAAAATGTTATCTTACATGTACTAGCTGGCTTCGAGCTTGAGATTTCCCCAACAAAGATTGGCTCATCATCATCATCATCCTCCTCCACTTCTTTCACTCTCTTTTGCCATGGTTCTAGCTCCTCTTCTTCACATTCCATAAATAATTCTGCCATCTTGAGACTAGATAGTAAAAACCAAAACATACATACCAAAACATTCAGTACTTTCATGAAACAAATGTTTCACCGTTCAGTAAAGATTACTGCACTTGATGATAATTCCAATAAAAAAGTCTTCCCTCCCCACCCTGCCCCCCGCCATGTTCTATACAGGTTGAACCTGATCTGATATAGATCTTCAGAGATCGACACCACAACACCTTTCTGATAATTACCTGAATTCTCATCTTTGCTATTAAAGGTGATAAAAGACCAAAGATATCCTCTGCATAATTTAAACTATTTTTGTATAATCCACCAGTAACCATCAGAGGAAGCCTCTGACACCACAGTGAAAGGTATCTTCTAAAAAAATACTCCTATTCCAGGTAAGTGATTCACAAGAAATGTGAAGACCCTGCTATGAAGCATGTAATACACCTGGCACAACTGAGTTAGTGAAACACTCGTTATAGCTTTATTCTCTTTGCATCTAAAAAACCCCAACCCAACCCCCACCCAAACCCACAACCTACCACAGCCCCACAAATTGTGTAAGATTTTGCCAGGGCTTCCCATATAGTCACATTTTCTTTAAACCCCAACAAAAACAAAACAAAATTCCCCAAAACCCACACACCAAAAACCAAACAAACCACACACCAAAAAAGACTTCAAACAAAAAAAACCCCACAACAACAACAAAACCCCAAAACCATACCCACAACGCATTGCATAGTGTTTTCATTATCAATTAGGACTTGACAAAAATTTTGCATAGATCTCATTAGACTGAGTCCCTTGTGCTTGGAGACTTGCTCTTGCAGTAAGGAAAAAAAATGTCATGTATGAAAATAGTAATGAAAATATGTAGCTTTTGGAATTAACCAAATTACAATCAGCATCTCTAATCGTAACTGGTTTTATTTGGTTTTTAAGTAAACAGTGATGGCCAACGAAGTTTTCCTCTTTCTTTTCACATCCTCTAACATAATCTGGAAGTATTTCTGAACAATACAGGAAATAAGAAACTTTTACGTTTCTTTACACACACTACCAATAATCTAATTCGTAAAGACCAGTAATTTCATAAAACCACAGGGCTGTCTCAGCAATAACCAGGATCAGGATCCCAAGACAACATGTTTGCTTTGCCTAAGACACGGAGCTTCGCAAAATTCAGTGTCTCCGTTTTTTGGCAAATTGGAGGGGAAACAATACAGTTTTGCATGAGGAACCCAATAGTAACTCCAGCCAATATAGGAATTCCTTGAAATTAATGAGCAGTTAAGCACATGAAATTCAATTCATCATTGGACTGCTTTGACAAAAAGTGAAGAATATCCGAGCAACAGTTCCTTTCATGAAGGCCACAATCAATATAAGAATATTTCTAGTCTTATTACCAGGCCACTGCCAACAAAAAACATTACTAATACTTCTCTCATTCTTGTGCTGATGCAACACTTACCTGACAAAGCAAACCAGTTAAGGAAGCTTGACTTCCCACAATTACGCAGTGATAGTTCTCTGACAGTTTAACTCCCTAAACCTAATAGCCAGGGCATCAGACCAGCACTAATGTATATGATTATGTCATTAAAGACTATCAAACCTTATACACAAGGTGACAAAATCAAGATTACATTCATAATCATAAACTGGTATTTCTTAAACTAAATGATTTATCTTGTAAGATGAAGAGGGTTTTTATCCAACACATTTTTCTGTACGGTTTCCCATGATTTTCTCCCTTCCAAAAATATTTTGAGAGCAACATATATACTAAACATTGGGTCAAGTTTCTTTTTTGAAAGTGTAATAATGCAAAACTAAGAATACCCCTCATTATCTATCAACAGTGTTTGAAATGAAGTCTTCAGCACAGGCACAGTGAGAAACTGTCTAATATCTAATAAAAGAAGACAATTTCAGGATAGGAGTAATGAGCTGCTAGATTTGGTGATGGACTGTAGAAATAATTAGTCTGTAATAGCTTATCACAGGGGAGCAGACAGATCGTGCCCCTACTTTCATTAAAGTGCATGAGAATGGGGCTGCTGGCATTACATGCTAAGCCTTGGGGATAATATAAAGTAGCAAAGCTATACTCCTTCCTTCCTTCCTCTATCAGCTTAGGCTGCTGAAGTTAAACATGGTACTAGGAAAGAAGAGAATAAGACACTAAACTAGATTCTTGTCGTGGGAAAAGAGGAAGAATATGAAGCCAATTTCCACTTAACAGAGAAAACAGGGGCCATGTGCCAGGTCTTGGAAAGAGAATCAAGCCTGACTCTCCTTTGTAGAAGGATGTTCTTTAGAACACCTTTTCTTTACTAACACAGAGGCAAAGTTTATTAGACTTCAAGGCAAAATGAAAGACTATTTTCAGAGATTTTTTTCATGGAACTGACAACATAAATATGAGGGTTTTTTTAATTATATTAGTTTTATTTGAGCTCAGGGAAAAAAGTAATCAATTACAAAATGTGCTCAGAGAATGCAAGTGAGAGCACATGTAATTTATATTAAAAACACAAAATAGACACAAGCAACCTGCATGTTAGCAGAATTCTAACAAGATACACGTGATAACCTCAGCTACACTATAATGCAGCTGATTTTTTTTTTTTTAAATACAGTTAGAAGTAATTTGATAACATAGGCATGGACTTTTAGAAAGTTACACCAACTGGTGGCACCTCTTATGGACGTTTCATTTTATGAACCAAGATATACATATTAAGGTATTCTCAAAAGGTGACTCAAAATGTATGGCAGCTTTTAAAAGGCAAGTATCAAGATTATTTCAGATCTTTTAAATTTTATTTATTTTTTTTTATTTCAATGCTATGATTTGAAGCCAAGCCTTCACTGACTTTTTTCCTGGCAACAAAGCCAGCCTAATGAGTTCCCGCCCTGCTCCTGCACTGCTCCCTCAGTTGTGCTAGTACAACTTTTCACGGGACTATGATATGAACCAGTGCAAGTTAAAAATAACCTGGCCCATTAACAGTTTTACCGGCACAACTGAGAGGTCAAAAAATCTGTGGCCTGAGCAATCAAAGTTGCAGTAAGGTGGAATGGATTTGATTACAGGAGGTGTGTAAGAACTGCTCAAATGGTCTCCATTGCCAAAGGAAACATCTACACCCACTTTTAAAGTACAACTAGCTTCCAAGTTTTCAGCTTCTTTAACTACATTAACGCAGAAAATGCATTCCAGGAATCCTGCTGGTGGTTCCTCTCAAAGCCAAAACCAACAGTGAATCCTTCCCTGACTCTCCCCAAATATTTCCCAGTGGAGGTGCAGATGCCAGTATAAGAAAGGTAAACCTATTGACAATAGATTTTATTTTCCTCATTTTTTAATATGTATAAACATATATACACATTTATACACACATCTCCTTAAAGGTAGTCCATGCATCTGAGAGGTCCCAAACTCCAATGAAATGCTATGTATATAATCAAAGAAAGTCTTTAGGATAAAAAGTGTCAAAATTGTGAACAATTTCTTTAAAAGATTTAAAAAATATCATTAGACTATATCAAGATATCGCTTTAAAAGGCAACTGCCCAGCAAAAACTAAGGCTAGCTATGAAAGTTCATTAGGCAGGCACAAATAATCAACAACCTGCAAAGACACAAGTCCATGGAACACTATTATAGTTACTAGACAAGCAATAAACTAAAAACCTGATATGAGACAGAAAAAAAAAAATTTAACTCATTGCACAAGAGAGTAATAAGCTTCTGATGAAATAAGTGTTTTAAAAGCACTAGTTTGGACATCTTTATTTATCATGGCAATTATGTTTAAAGATACCTAACTTTATTAAAAGCCAGTTGTATTTATAATCTGGTTTTTTTTACCCTTAGGATTTAAAAGCACTCACATAAACAAAAATGATACAAACATTAGTAAATGTAACAAGAGTGTAACAGCTGTAGTGAAAGCAGCAGAAAGTGATCTGAAGTGCACCTTAAAGATGCACAGAAATCAATACTATAGAAAATCATGGCAAATGCAGCTGCAATAAGATTTCGAGTTACTGAAAACCCATTTATTACTTTAGATGAAATTCACCTGTTCCACTCTTAAGGTCAAATGAGCTTTCCAATACTCAATACTTCTTTGGATTGGCTTAAAATAACTGAAACCAAATCACTAGTATGAAATTGGTAGTGAGCTTAAAGAGTGAGGACATCTACATTAACCAGAAAGTTCTCAGACTAGCCTTGTTTGTCATCTTTCCATAACAGTATTATCAGAATTATTCAAACATTATTTTTTCCTCCAGTTTAATAGCTGCACTTCCAGTGAACAGGGAAGTTCTATTATTTACAACACAGACTATACTGTGAGCACCCACATGGTCTTTTTCAGACAACTTCCCATACAGGCACATAACTTTGCATCATGTTAGTTGTAGAAAAGCGTGCAATCCACAGCTTCATCAGGACCGTGAGCAATTGTATTTTTATTGAGTGCTACGTTTGTTTCAGCAGCGAAGAAACGATGACCAAGCTGAAACTGAACCTGAAAGTTTTAAAAAAACATAAACCAACTTCCCCCAAAACAAACTAAACCAGCCAACACTACCCTCTCTGCCATGAGACGGTATAAGCTCCGCCTAGGGAAGGGCAATATTGCCTTTGCAAACCAGTCAGAAGTTCACACCCCCGAGCTGCGATGGGTGCGAGGCCACGGGAAGAGGCCA